TGGTATGACTGCACAAGTTATACCTTATGAAGTTATCCCTGGGTAGGGAACACCAACCTCCATCTCTTGATGGGAGGAGGGTCGTCTATATTGTAGAAAAGCATGTGAGGTGGGAGTTAGTGGGAGGCCGCAGGAGAAACCAACTTGCCGATGCCTTGATCTTGGACTTCCAGTCTCCAGAACCGTGAGAAAATAATCTTCTATTGTTAAAGACACCCAGTCTGTGCCATTTGGTTATAATGGCCCTAGGAAATTAATACTATACCTAAGACGTACACATATTTACTTGTCCTTGTCAGTATTTTTTTTATTGCTCATCCTTAATTCGTTGGATATCTTTGGTTCTCTGTCAACTTGCTAGGAGAGGCAGATCTAACAGCAAATGCCATGTTTTAGCTAATGTCCCTTCTTTAATAATATTCTGATGAATAGAGGCTTTATTATTTATTTTTCCTGGAGTGTTGCTTATATCCAGGAAAGATTTATGTCTACTGTAATACTGTGGTTCATTCATAGATTGGCACATAAAGTAATATTGCTTTTAATCACTGCAGTCAATTACCTGCAAACATGGCCATGAACAATTTGTCTTATCCTTTCTGTATATGTCACTCCTCCCCTCAAGGGCTAGAATCTATTTCACCTTCCCTTGAATCCAGGCTGGCCTTGTGATTTGCTTTGACCAATAAAATACAGTGGAAGTGATGCTAGTGAGTCCCAGACCTAGGTCTTTAGAGGTGTTGCAGCTTCCATTTTTGTTCTCCTGAGCTCCAGCCAGCATGTAATGAAATCTGCCTATCTTGTTGGAGAGCACCCTTGAAGGGGAAAAGGCTTAGGTGGGGAGCTGTAGGCGTGAAGATGTCGAATACCTGAAGGAGTTCCAGAAGGAGGGAGAGGGATGTGGCTTGAGAATGGGAGGATACCAAAGACAAACTGTACCTGCTGGGCCTTGCTGTGTGGCCGAGAAGGAACCAGGGAATGAAGCACAGAGGTTTCATGATGGCGGTTTTAATTGGCCTTGGAGACTTGTTGACCTGCCCTGGGTTTGACACTTATCAAGATTGGAGCTGTCATTGTTGGCCGGTGACTGGCAAGATGATGTCCATAATTGCCTCAGAGCGTTGCTGGTACAGGGCATTTTTCCTTGGCATTAGCCTTGGGAGTTGTCTCTGGAGCACATACTGCCTTGCCAAATCTCCATAGCAATAGCTACCTCAAACACTGTTGTGAGTTGCATTGTGTTCCACTCCCTAATTCTTATGTTGAAGTCCTAACCCTTAGTATCTCAGAAAGTGACCTTAATTGAAAATAGGATCATTGCCCATGTAATTAGTTTAAATGAGGTAATTCGATGTAGAATGGGCCCCCTAATTCAATATGACTAGTGTTTTAATAAAGAGGGAAAATTTAGACACAGACATACAGGGACAACACAATGTGAAGATGAAGACAGAGATCAGAATGATGCAGAAGCCAAGGAACACCAGAGACTGCCAGCAGACCACCAGGAGCTGGCAGAGAGGCACCAAACAAAGGACAACACAATGTGAAGATGAAGACAGAGATCAGAGTGATGCAGAAGCCAAGAACACCAAAGACTGCCTGCAGACCACCAGGAGCTGGGAGAGAGGCACCAAACAAGTTCTCCTTTACAGCTCTCAGAGGAGCCCACACTGTTGGACACCTGATTTGGATGTCTAGTCTCCAGAACTGTGAGACAATTCATTTCTGTTGTTGAAGCTACACAGTTTGTGGTGCTGTGTTACAGTAGTCCCAGCAAACGAATGCAAACGTCGAGACCACTTCCTCCCTTTACTCTCATTTCTGCAGTTTTGGGTGGATGAACACAGGGATAAGCTTGTGTCTGTAATGGAGAAGCTGCTTAGATGGCTTCATATCTTAATCCAGTTAAAATTCTCATTTCCTCAAAAAGTTCTATGAAAGGTGACTTGTGTGCTTTAGGCACAAGAAGAAAAAGGGGACAATTTTTGATAGGAAGATCCCTCTGAAATTATATCAAATTGGTTATTTTATCTACCTTCTTTAAGGCCCTCCCACTCAACAGTGTGTCTTCAGTTATTCTAAAGTTTACAGAGAGTTAACATTTAGTTGTTTTTTCAAGAAACCTGATTTAACCTAACTGTATTAGAATTGGCATTCGATTATTCTGATATGATCATTTGCATGATTTTTAGTGCCATTATTGTTGGAAGCTGATATTAGAACCTTAAAATTGGCATATTTTAGTCAGAAATGTTTAGTGCCTTCTAATAAGAATAATATTAAGTGCATTATGCAGTGATAATGGAAAGTACATTTGCAAAATAGTTATGTAATAGATAATTCTGAAATGTAAGAAATAGCAAAGGCACACTGAAGAGAAAACCATGTTTTATTCACAGAATTTTGGCTGCCTGTGCTCTCAGGCAGGCGAGAGCATATGTGCTCCTCAGTGCCACACCACACCTGAGCTGCCCGAGTTAGATCAACCAGTGCAATTCTGATTGAAGTAGAGAATTTTTGTCACTGAATCAAAAGAGGTTGGGAGTGTTGTCATGTTTGAATTTACTTTCTGCTCTTTAGAGTGGGTTAGAATTTTGTAAATGAAAATTGGATTTCCAAAGGAAGCAAATATTTGCTATGACACAGCCAAATAATTTGGTTATTTTCTAGTTGCTATAACTTCTGATTAATAGTTTATTTAAAAAATGTTTGGGAAACACTGTAAAGTGTATTGTTCCATATTTCACCATTAGAGTTTTTAGGTCAGTTTTAGGCTGATTAACATTACCCTGTCCCTTTAATGCTTTGATTTGTTGATCAAATTCAAAATATGCAAACTCACAGAAAACCATGGTAAAAAATAAATCTGTAAGGAATCTAAGAGATTCTTGGCTATGTGAATTGACACAACAAATGTGACTTGGTGTTTTGGTTCTTTTCTGTACCAACTAGAAAACTTGGTGGTTTTGATTAAATTTTTCTTTTGGCAGCTTAATTACCCCAATTCAGGGATATTCTGTTTAAAATTTCAAAGACTAAACAAAGCCAAGGCAATGCCCAGTCAGCAGAGATGAGAAGAGAATGAATTAATTCTATGAAGTCCAATTGACAAGAATAATTTTAGCCTTGTGCATGCTTGCAGGCAACCTGCCTTCGCTCCATTCCTTTCAGAAAAGAAAGTTGTTGTAGGTGTGTTTGTTTTTTTTTTAACTTTTTCTCTTTGATTTTAGAACCGTCGAACCAACCAGCTAGTTTATAGATATTTAGCCTTTTCTAAGGCCTCTTGGGATTCTTGGGGTTTTTATCAGCATCGCTCTTGCCCTGATGGACCAGGAGGTGCTATCCAAGGCAAGAGAGTGAAAGCATCTCCGTCAGGGACTCGAGATATTGGGCAAAGACAACTTGCTTAGAGCAATTATGTCTAAATTTTGTGTTTCTTCTCCACTCAACTCTGAAATCACACAGGGAATGTTACCATTGCACTGAGAACCTCATGTCTCAGCTGCACCTCAGAAACCTACCGAACAGACATGCGCTGAGAGAGAGGAGAGGCTGGGGCAGGGTTGGTCTTGGTCCTTACTCATCCTTCTAAACAGGCAAATTTATTTCACTTTCATAGGCAGGATGTTGGTGACTATAGTCAGCAGCTTCTTGAAGAGCTATTTAGTGTTGTGCTGTCACTTTTGAGACAATAGCCTTTGTTCTATTGCAATGATTCTCTCCATCTTCATTATTCTGGTTTGTCTGAATGCGGTTAGCCTTCCTCTCTGTGGTCTAATTATCTCTTTTCATTCCCAATCCATTTCTTGGCAGCAAAAAGTCATTTTTACCACATCCTTGTCTGCTGATAGGGCTGTTTTACTAAGATTATATATGTAGAAAGTAATTCTTTAAGCTGGAAAGTGCTCTGTGAATGTAAGTTGGTGATGTTGATAACGGTACTTCTACTCACTGGCCCTTATTCACTCTCCAATAGAACTTTATTTTTCAAACCAAAAGCCTTTTAGGGACTCAGAGTTACTGTTATTCCTTTGGTGATTTGGAGGAAGTCAGCATCGTATAGTGGTTAAGAACATGGGCCATATGGACAGATTTCACCACTGCCTCTCCAGCTGTGTGACTGGGGATAGGTTACTCTGAGTCTGGTTTCCTAAACTCTAAATGGAGACGCTAAGAGAATCATGCTTGCAGAATTGTTGAGAGCAGTAAATGGATATTGCAAGATGAAGCAATAGTGCCAGGTACATATAAGCCCTCAGTAAGTCATTAGCTTTCATTACCTTCTGGGGGTATTTGGGGTTCTATTACTTTAATAGATTTTGTGCAAAGCCAGCAAAAAGGAGCTGATTCCCATAACTTAATTAATTGCAAAATCTCTCCCATCCTACCCTTCTTCCTATATTCCATCTCAACTGGAATGTGAACTTGTATTCATAAAATAAACAGAATGGTATTTTTTAAAAATGCTGTTTTGGTATATACCTTTTAAAGAAATCATGAAATTATTTTTTTACAAGTCTAATATTCTAACCTGAAAACAGCCTAACCTGTGAACTCTGAAATTAGAGGTAGGTAAAGTTTGTGAGGGGGACCCTGCAGGCAGTAGCCCCTCTATCAGTCCCTCTCTGCAGACCACCATTCTGCAGAACATGGCTGGGCTCCTCTGAGCAGCATATAGGTTGCTGGGGAGAGGCCATTAGCATGGAGCTTCATGATACACATGCTTTAGCATCTCCTTTCGGGCATCCATTTCCCATTGGGCAGAAAGTAAGAGTATTCATTATGATTTCTGACTGGCATTCCATTATTTGTATATTAATGTTTGGTGTGGAGTGAGGTTAGAAATTCATAAGTGGCCATTTGAAAAAGACTTCTAATCTAAAATTTGAAAAATTCTTTCTTCGGAGGTAGTTACACAGTGATGTTCCTAATATCAAGATGGCTTGTTTAACCATGTTGATTGAATCTGCTAATCTCATTTCAACATTTTGTTACAGATTGATATTCTCAAAGCAGATCTGGAAAGTGCAGAGTGGAAAGTTTTGGAAAATCTTATTCTGGAAGATGTTCTTGAACAGATCGGACAGCTCATTTTTGAGATCCATCTCCACTGGCCTGGGTTCGAGATCAGTGGCAGCGATAGCAGTGTTGTGCGGTTCTGGTACAGCCTCCTCAAAGAGTTAGAACTGAAGGACTTCAGGCTTTTTCACAGTTACAAAGATTTATCTAAACCTCAGCTATTCCTGAAGAAAGACATTTTTAATGCAAGTAGCTGTTATACCCTGAGTTGGGTAAATACGAGATGGAAATAGGATGCAGGATCTCATCAAGTACTTGAGGAACTATTTGCAGGTTGGAATGTATCCATGATTCTAATGATCAGTTTACTTGTCCAGTCTCCCACTAGCCTGTTACTTGCTTGAGGCAGAGATTGTTATTGCCTTTGTAATGCCTGTAGCCTGGTGCCTGCCGTATAGTAAGGGTACAGTTTGTACTTGTTGAAGAGATGGACATAGGAGTGCCACAGAAGTCAACCTCTGTCTGCACAGACCCAGGCTCTTTGCCTGTTTGCCTCTGACAGAGTGGGGATGCTTGTCCTCTTTCACTTAACTTGGAAGATAATCCCCCACTTACCTCAGTTTTCCCTAAAATTCATTATGTATCTATAATCCATGAATTCACCAACAGGAAAAAGAAATTAGATAAATTTTCCATTTTTACTGGGTTGATGAGATTCTTATGTTTGCAGCCTACTGTTTAAAAAAGGACCTTTCTTTTGACTTGAACTCACCTCTTTTATGGTTTTTCTTGTTCACCTGGTCAATAACATTCTTTACATTTGTAGATTTCAGTCACGCCTTCTCAGCCTTTGCTGAGGCCATGCTATGATCTTAGGAGAACCACTGAATCTGGGGACTCAGACATACTAAATACTGTCACTGTTTAAGGACTAGACTATCAAGAACTGCAAGAACATTCTTTTCATATGCAGCCTTAAATTTCCTTCTTTTCCTACGAAACTAAGCACAAAGCAGAATTTGGGTCTCTTTACTGTTGCCTCTTCTGACTTCAAACCTGATTCTCAACTATAGACTCACCTAAGTTGTAAATCTTTTTTCTTTTTTTTTTTTTTAATGCCTTCTTTCAAAGACTGAGTTTTTCTTTACTGCCAGTTGGCGTTCGTTATAAGCCTGTAGCCTGAGATGGTTATGCAGTGTTTCAGCGGTACCGATCCTTTTTATTTTTCAAAAAATAAAGCGGAAAATACAGGTTCTCAATAGTTCAAATGATCACTTTCATTTATCTTTATAGGATTAGACATTTAATCCTACAAATGATTTTTAAAAATTCTATTTCAAATAAATTAATTAAATAGTACAAATTATTCCCTTATTATAAATTAAATATATTTTCTGATACTTTTTAAATCCTGAGAGAGCAGGAAAACATACATATATGTTTGTTCAAGAAATTTGGGGAGGGAATAGAATATTACTACTAAACTTTATACCTTTTCTCTGTTTTTTTTTTTTTAAATCTACTTCTACCCCAGACATTCCCTGGGTTGGGGTTTTGTTTCTTGCAACAGTTTGAAAATACCATTTGTCAAATGAGAAACCAAAACATATTGGAGTTAGATGATCTCACTAACTTCAAAAGAAACAAGACTTTCTGAATTATTAGTGATTTTTTAAAATATAAATGAGGTTTTCTATTTTAAAATGCATAATACACTAATAAAAGTCATTGAGGTGGAAGGACCAGCTTGAATAAGTGTGCTTTGAAATTGCAGTTCGGTTGCTTTATTGTCCATAGGTATTTCAAAAGTGCAAAGGGTCCATAAAAAATCTGAAGTTATACTGTTGGTTTGCATGGCATAGCCTCTGAAACAGTGTAATTTTCATCTAGTTCCTGTTTGGATTATATCACAGATTTTTTTTTCTTTTACTTTTTAATAAACATTTTATACAATGAAGTATATACAATACACCTTTTTATATGTTAAACCTTTAAACCTTCTTATACATTAAGTATGAAGTGTACTGATCTTAAGTGTCCAGTCTAATCAGATTTTAGATATGTACACATCCATATCAAGATTTTTAATTCATGGTATTAAAGATTTATGGCATTACTGAAAGCCCCTTTGTACCAGGCAAGTTACCATTTATTCCAGATTGGTGGTACAGAACATTGACTTCATCACACTATATATATCTGAAGCAAGAATGGGTGTACTGTTAAGGAAAAAAGACAAACTCAAAATAAATCACAAACATACCCACCCACACCCACCTACTAGGCAGCCTGTTCAATAGTTATTTGTACTTATTTTATGCTTATTTCTAAGACTGTCCTTCATTTCCTTTATGGAGAGTTTCAAATTTATGATGAATTTTCTGACTGTTGCTATGGTATTCCTGCCTCTAGAATTTATTATCCTTATTGTGTTGGCCAGCGTTTCTTAATCTCAGCACTGCTGCCGTTTTGGGCTGGATAATTCTTTGCCAGGGGAGAGAGGGTTGTTCTGTGCATTGTAGGGTGTTTAGCAGCATTCCTGGCCCTTCCCACCAGGAGCATCTTCTCCGATTTCCACTCAGTTGTGACAACCAGATTCGTCTCCAGACAGTGCCACATGTTCCCTAGAGGGCAGAATCACCCACTGTAGAGAACTCCTGGTGTAGGACATGAGAAGGGTCTAGGTTACCACAGCACTGGTGTTGGGGGAGATCCTGCTGGTGAAGAACAGGCAAAACAACAGTCATTGTTACCAAAACCACCACAAAAGCAACACAAATGAAATACAAACAAAATGAAGAGCTGCTGTTCATTGAGAGATTACTGTGTGCCCAGCACCGTGTAATCATTATTCCTAATTCTCCCAGCAACACTGCGAGGGAATGTAATTTTCTCGATTAAATATATAGGTAAAGAAACTCTGAGAGGTTAATAAATAGTTCATTCAGATCATTCAACTAGTAGACGATGGGACAAGAATCAACATTTCGGTCTGTCAGATCCTAGGGCCCATGCTGGTCCTTCCACAATGCTGCTTCAATAGCCTCTAACAAATGTAAGGTGCTACTTCCAAAGGACATATTTTTGCTTCCCTATTAGTAAAAAGGAAAAAAACTACAAATATACTAAGACCAGACCTACAAATCTTTAAGAGTTGGGATCATTTTTGTAGCAGGCATGTTTAATTTAAACAATCTACTTAATTAAAATATGCCTGCCAAATGGAGGCTTACTAAAAAAATATCAGGACACAACAGCTTGTCTGTCAATGTAGTCAAATTGCCAGAAAATCTCTTGCAAGTACTTGGAAGTGACTGAAAAAATATGGGGACCCAATAACTTCTCTGTCAATATATTCAGGTTGCCAGAAAAGCTCTTGCAAGGCCTTGGAAGTGATTCTTGGCTTTGGCTCATCACAATACTTGGCACTTTCCTCCTGGGTTTTAGAAAGGGCAGAGTCACTTGGGAGTGCAGCATGAGTTTCCTTTGTTTTAAACTAGTTTTTGACCTTAGATGAAAGAGCTCAGATGTGAATATCTGTGACAAACATCTCTTAATTAACTGTTAACAGAGGAAGCTCATAAATAAAACTGAAAATACCAATTTAATAATGGTCTTATCAAATGATAAAAAAGACTTCATTTTTTAGGTGAAAAACTTGAGGATGTTGGAGATTCAGAGGTCACCTTTTAGCACAAACATTATGTCATAATTTGAGATTCAAGTCAAAGGAAATCTGTTTCTTAAGACTGATTGTATTTAATGTGGTTATAATAGGTTATCATATAAATATTTGTAACTATGTGACATGTTCAAATGAAGAGAGTGAGGGAGAAGTAAACAAACATTCGTTAGTATTGAATAAAGGTCCATTAAATTTACATCAGGATGGAACAAAAGTAAATTCATAAATTTACTGTGTTCAGTCCAAATCAGCTATTCGTGTGAGCATTTCTGCCTTGGTTGTAAAAGTTTAGCATATAGTAAATAAAGTACAAGATTTGCATTTCCTGAGTATTACATGTTTGGATTTTGTAAAGCTTGGATTTTTACAGGAAGCTAGCCTCATCATCATATTTTGCCAGATTGAAAATGAAGGCTTCTTAAATGAACAGATTATACTTGACAATACAACAGTACCTCCAAGCTCAATTAATATAATTGTTCTCTTCTTTTGAAGATAACTTTATGTGTTCCTTTTAAGCAATAACATCATTCTTTTGTACTAGCCAATTGCGGATTCTTTGTGAATTCAGTAACTTTAACCTTATGCTAAAATGTCTTCTTTTTCTTACATCGAAAGAAGTATTTGAACTTTACTTATCACTTTACTTTAAAATCATCTCCCAAATTCAGTATATTCTTAAACTGCCTAAATTTAGAAATTATTGAAATTCTTTAAATAATGCTATTGTATTTCTGTCCTTAAGAAAAATAAATCAGATACGCTTACTGTCACAGTTTAGAATGATATAGAAAAATGATAGTTCTCAATACTCATTAAAATCAATGCTTGTAAAACTAGCAGCTTCATATTCTTGTATAAAATATTTTACGTTTTTCTTAGTGATCAGTTTTGTGCAGTAAGATTGTCTGAAACAATAAGGGATTTTTTTTTCCTTGTCAAGTTTGAATTCTAATCTAGACTATTTCAATAGAGTAGCTCGGTATACATAGGACAGATAGATATGCAATCAATATGTACCAGTGAACTATCGGGTTGGTAAATGGCTGTGGTCCTGAGTTGTTGTTCTCCACTGTAGTCTCTCCCACAGCATCCTCAGAACTCCTTAAGATCGAGCAACTAATTCACAGCATACTAGGTAACTTCCAGGACCCTGCCCTAGCACAGTGATTAGCTTCTATTCTAACTGCTCTCCTGTGTTACTGGTTGTTGGATATTTTGCTATCACCTCTGGGTGGGTACATGTAATGATCAGAGGTCCAAGTGGGATCTATAATAATAATGAAACCACAATTATGTCAGTAAAAACTATTAATTATCTATACAATATTTTTTCAAAGATTGATGTTAGATCTAATATCGTTTCCTCAAGGGACCCCTCATTTAAGGCCCTCTAGTTTCCCTAACTTCACACGGGTAAGCCCTAGTACCTGCTAGGTAAAAGGTGCTCAATAAATATTTGTTGAATATGAATAAAGAAAGCTATTTCACATAGGACTTTTCAGTGAAATTAATTTATTATCATTTGTTTTTGAAGTTTTTTTTTCTGGCATTAAAAATACTTTTGGAATGTAGATGTACCACTGTCTCTCATTTTGGTTAATTTAGACATAACTTATCCTTTTGTTAACATGGTTGTTTATTGATATGGTTGTTTATGCTAATCTGGAAATCTTTCTTGACCTTGGGGACTTGAGAACTATATAACTGAATTGAATAAATAACTGAAGGCTCAGTTTTGACTAGAAGTTATCCTAGGATATTAAACTTCAGTATTCGCTTCTCATTCCTCATTGTCCTTTCTTTGTACCAATGCTCAGAAAACAAACTTTTTAGAGTCAGTGTATAAAATCACAATTCACAGCAGCATGGAGAATATTTTTAAGTTTATGAGAGAAGGAAGGTATGATATGAGGCTATTTCTGCTAAGGATAGGGTATGGTATTTCGATAAAAAATATTAAAACAGTTGTTCAAAGAGTAAAGGCAAGAAGAGAAAAGATACTATGTTCTCCAAACAATTTGACTAAAGTATGACCAAGAAACATCCATGTGAGCAGTGATGAGGTGATAGGGCCCAACTCTCATGGGAGAAACCATGAGAATGTCTTTAGCTACAGGTTGTTTTACTAAAGGATGAAATAAACATGATCTAGATAGCTGAGAGTTTCTTTTAAACCACCTAACTCAGAAAGAGCAAGCTGGAAGCCACACAGATTATGACACCAACCTGACAGTTTAAAAAATATACAATTAAGTGGCATGTAGAGGAGGCAATAGTAGGATCAGAGGAGAAAGATTTTAATACTGTTGCTAACTAGCTGCCTGATATCAAGAAAGTTATCACCTTTCTTGGCCTATTTTCTTACTTAGGTTGGAATATCTAATTTCCAAGGTTTCTTCTAGCTTGAAAAATGTCATTATTCTAAGATTTCTGTTATTAGAGAACGCTTAGACAGGGGTAGCATAATTTCTTGATTTGTGTGCTATTAAGGGAAGGCTTAGGATAAATTCAGAAGAATCCAAATGATGTACTTATTCAGAAGAAAAAGCTCAGATAAAAGATGGAGCAATTATGATGACTTTCCAGTCATCAAGTGAAGTGTCCTCAAGAGAACAGCACACTTAAACTCCGATGATTGTCAAAAATGGAATGTTTCAGACTGCACTAGTTTATACTTTTATGTTTTTAGACTATCCTAACAAAGTAGCAATATCTGAAGATATTAGATCAGGTACATGTATCTATGGCGATCCTTCTGTGTAAATATATATATATGTGTGTATACATATGTATTTATATGTGTATGTGTATGTAATGTATGTATATGTGCACATGTGTATGCATGTGTGTCTGTATGTATGTGTATATAGATATAATAGCCAGGAAGGAAAGATCTTCAGACACAAAGAACTGAGAGGGACCCCAGAGGCAGGAATTCAGTATGCCAGTGATGGGTAGAGGCCTGAAGCCTGACTTAAGACCTGTTGGAGGAAAGGATTAAGACAGACCCCTACCACCGTGAGACCCTTGGAGGGCTACAACCTCAGTGGAAGAAGGTCCCTAAAAATCTTCTCCCCTAGCAGAAGCCTATCCTTGCTTTAGCTCTAGGAGAAAATAAAGGTTTCTCATGAGAATTTGAAATCTCTGGCTTGTTTAAGGACTTGGATTTATATTAATCACATGGTGAGGAAAATCATAAACTGAGAAATGAAGATTAAAAAGTTGGTTCTAGGGGGTGATGCCTCAGGGGTACCTGACAGAAACTAATGTCAAACCATTCTGAAGAGACTGTTCAACTCAGGCTATAAAAAACTTCCTCAAAAAAGCAAGACTCACTAAGATAAACTCCTAATAAAAAATTACAGCAAACAAGGAAATGGCCCACAATGAGACAGAGTTAACAGAGGTAACAAACAATGGGATTTTAAGCTCAAGAATGTGAGATAACAGAATAGCAATCATAAAGTAAAATATAAATTGTTTAAAAAGAATAAAAGCATAATAGACTATATACAAACCATAAGACATTTGAAGAACAGGTAGCTATAAAAAATACAAATAGACTTTCCATAACAGGATGAGTCATGGAATGAGTTTAATGAATTAAATAGATTAGACACAGCGGAAGACTGTAAAGTGAGCTGGAAGATAAACCTGAGGAAACTACCCAGAAAAATAGGAACATTTATATTCTTTACATAGAGTATCTTATGAATTATTTGAACCTTAGGATGCCTTTCAGAAGCAGCAGCAGTAAAGTTCACTATTTGAGCCAGCGTGTGTAAGAAGTACTAGAACTGTATGTGCAATATGGCAGCCATCAGCCCCACGTTACTACTGAGCACTTAGCATGTGGTGTGACTGAGAAACTGAATTTCACATTATATTTACTTTAAATTACTTCAAATTAAAGAAACTTATAATTGATTCAGTTATTAGAAAACTCTCAGGTATGTTTGGAACAACTTGGGCATGTAAGTCTACTTTGTATGACACAGATCAAGGATTTGATGAAAATTTAGTGTCTGAATTGAGATGTGCTGTTAAGTGTAAAATATACACCAGATTTCAGATTTAGTATGAGAAAAGGAAAATATTAATTTTAAAAATAATTGAGTGTTGAAATACTTTGTTATATAAAATATATTATTAAAATTAATATCCTCTGGGTTTCTTAAAAATGTGGCCATTAGAAAATTTACAATTACATACAAGGCTCAGATATTCTATTAGATAGCACTATACTAGAACATATACTTAAGCCTAAATTGTTTGAGATTCAAGTCCTTCAGATCTCAAATGCTGATGGTTGGAGTGTGGATGGTGGGAGCTAAATAATTAATTTGAAGACAGTTATTGCAATTATAGAAAGCCGAACATGCAAAGGAGTTCTCTGTCACTAAAAATAAAAGCACTCTAAGGACTCTGGCTGCAAGTCGCGACTTCTTTTCCCTTAAGTTCCAGATAATATTGCAATGTTTAGGTTAAGAAAGTTGTTTCTACAATTATTAAAGTGGGTATGAACATGAAGGTGTACATTTAATGTGAAATGTATATACATATATTCAACATACATACACACATGCACATGTGTATTTTTGTTTAGCTAAATTTCTGAGTTTACATGTACCAAATAGTGTGGTTTCTGAAATATTTAAGATAAGCTCAGACCCTACTTCACTGATTCTCATCCTTAGTGTGCATATCATCTGGGGACCTTGCTAGATTCTAATCTTTTGTTAGCTCATTCATTTTATTTACTCATTGAGCAAATAAAAATCGGTAACATGAATTTTGAGCCAAGGGCTGTGATAGAACCTTCTTTCTATTGATTAGATCTTTTCTTCTCGGGTCCCTTAGAACTTTGCCTAGTTTATACAGTATTTAATCAGTTATTTTATAATCTACTAATAAAGAGTACTGCCCATTAAACTATTACACAGCATTGATTTGAAGATGTAGCTCTATTTCAGAGATGTCGAAATGTAAAAACTATGCATCTTTGATGAAATACAGTATCAGTGTTCCATAGATCTCACTTTGAGACCCCAAATTTTACACTACAGATGGATATATTGATTGGATGCTACTTCACACTTCCCTTCCCCATACCTGGATTCATTAGGGCTCCAACTAACCTCTACTTTCTTCTGAATTCTCTTCCTCAATAAGTGACACCATTTCCAGGTGATTCTGCTTCAGTTGGTTCTCAGTCCACATTCTGAGAAACTGTTCAAGGAGAGTCTCTATAATTGTTGCTATCGACCAGCCTCACAATACATCCACAAGCATCACTCTATATTTTTCTATTTAGAGAAGTGCCTGTTTGATGCTGCTCCCTATTCCTTATCTTAAAATTGTCTCTTTGTTTAAGACAAAATATTCCCAGCTTGTGCTTCAATATTTAAATATTTAAATATTCATTCAATTAAACCTTTAATAAAGCATCACTTTTAGTCTAACTTTTAGGAAGGAAATGTGTGCTGGGTATGAACAAAAAAAAAGGCTGCAGTAAGGAAAAGGAGTTAGTTGGTAACCACTTAATTCCAGTAACAACATCATCTTGAGACTTTTTTATGCTGGAAAAGAAACACATTCATTTGTGTACTCTAAAATGAGTGCCATCATAACTCAGTGCCACCCACCACTGAGTGAATATAAAATGTGTTAATGTGTATGCTCTGAGGGCAATGTCCTGTATTTTTATTATTTAATTAGAATAAACCCATTAATACACCATACTCACCTCTAAAGCATCATCGCTCCATAAAATCAAAATGACCCATTTAAAATCCATAAATGCTTTAACTTGGTGTCTCAACAGACTTGAAAGGAGACTAAGAATGAAAATTTTCATAACACTTTTTACAAAAATGCTTTATTAAAAAATATTTTTTTAAAAAAAGAGACAACTTTTATATTTAGTTGCTTAGTTTAAAAACAGTCAAAAACAATAAAATAAACTCAGATTTAGAAATTATGATTTGTAGCATACATAACACTGGTGATGAATAAGATAGTTTAAATATATGATTAATTCTTTTATTATTAATCAAATGTGATTAATTCACATTCGTTAAACCCAGTGGTTGGGACTAAAGAAAAAGTCTTAACTGAATTCTTTCCTCTTCAGGAAATGGCAGCCACCTTTCCTGGCAAGATACAGAAATGGCAGCAGGTAGGAAGTGTATTCTTATTTCTTTGAGTGCCTCTGTGTCCAAAAATATAGCTCTACCACTTTTATTCTGTTTTTTTTTTTTTATTTTCTGCTTTGAAATTTATTAATATGTGGCTATAGCACCTAGTTATCTATACTAGGCTCTAAAAAAAATTTTTTTTAAAATTTTTAAAATAGATGTCCTTAAGGACTGCAGCATGAACTGCATGGGACTCAGAGCTTAGGATATGAACACTCAACATGATTTTGGTCTGCAAATCAGCACTCTGAGTAGCTATGAACCAATCTTTTTGGTATGGTACTGAAACATTTCAAACCATATTCAAACATCTGATACAGATTTGTAATAAAACTGGAGAAATGGCTTGTCAAACTAAAGTGTTGTTAGCTACTATATTCAAGAGGCTATCTTGATTTCACAATCTGAAGTTAAAAAAAAAATAATTTATTTATTTTTGTAACTAACCAGTCACTGCTTCTCAAACTGGGGAACCCTAGTCATTTTCTTGGATTGTCAATTTTACTCAAAGATTTGGAAAGAAGTTTAAAATTTTCCCAATCTTAAAAAGTTCTGTCAAATATATCCACAAGCCAAATCAGAATAATTTTAAAGAGAAAACATACAACTTCAAAGAAATTACAAGTTGATATTGTGAACTATGTCCTCATACCCCATCTCCTATGAGGAGCATTTCAGCAGTAACATCTGTGAGGCAACAGCCTAAGAGACCCTGATTTCTGAAAGTGTAGCCAGGTCCTTACTGACAGTAAATACAAATAAAATTCAAAGTCTTGACTCATTCTCATGAGTTCCATCTTCAAAAATAACATAATTCTCTGATTATAAATAGTCCTGGACTATACTGATCAGGAAGAAAGTCAAGGAAAGAACTCTGGACTGATTTGTATTTTACATTGTTTAATCGTTAGAGGAATGCTGCAGTCTGAGAAGATTGCTGGCTTACAACTAAAAATATACAACATGTGTCATAAAAACAGTGGAACTCCTGAATCCTAAAGATTAGAACTTGACCCACTGGAAATAAAGGAAGCAGTAACTGTGGGTGGTGTTACCCTTCTTTCAGAGTCACATTAAATTCCTGTGACTTCTTTTTTGTTGAAGAGGTAAATAAATGCATGGTACTTTTCTTGGTTACTTGTCATTAGTTATATTATCTCCTTTAGAACCCCAAATCCACTAAGAATTCTTTCTTGACTCCAAAAGGGTTCCTTTCAGTATGCCATGAGGGTAAGCCCGGACTGCCTGCCAACAGTAACCACTTGTCAAATAGAAAGTCAATGGTCATTCTCTGTACAAATAATATCCATAAAGAACAAAATAGTTGCCAATGAAATTATATGAGCCAAATTTACAAAGTTTCTTTTATAAACAAGGTGTCAACTTTATAAGGCCATGTAAGGAAATGATAATCTGTAAATTAAGTTGCCATCCAACACATTTAATAATTAAATATCATTAAATATGATACTGGATCAAAAATGATCCTAGATAGTTTAAGGATTAATCTCATTAATCCCACAATTTAATGAGACCATCCCAACCACAGGTTATGACTTTAGATGTTTCATGAGGATGCCACACAGCACCTATACACACTTTTTCATGAGCTTTAAACCGACTGTACAGTTTTGTGGTCTTCCAGTCCCAGATGTTTAATTTTCCATTTCCATCTCCTGAAATCACATAGCTACAATGAGAAGAAAAATAAATTTCAATTATTCGAATACCTTAAATTGGTAAAGTGGATGAGGAACAGTTTATTTTTTTTACCTTAACGGAAAAAAACCAATATGAATATACAAAACTCAGTGAGAAGAGCAAAGTAGAATATAAAGCAGTCTATAATTTAAACTTCTACCAAAAATCATCCCCAATGAGCACTAATCTAAGAGTAAAAAATTATTTTTAACTTGGAAGCCTGGGAGCCCCAAGGGTCACAATGAATGCGGTATCACAATCACTATCCAGACAGTCAGAAACAAGTAGGAGAACCAATTTCACACAAAGCCAGCAAACACGTTTAGACCCCTTCTACTGTAGTCCATTCTACCACATTCATAATTACTTTTGGCTCCAACATCTTTTGAATATGCCTAAAATTGACTCACATGTAGGAGTCTAATGCCCAATTACCAGGCTAAACAGATAAGGTTACAGAGATTTCTGAATTATTTATACCTATGTATTTTAGCTAAGAATGGGGGAATGAATATAGAGTTTCACTCTTAGAAAGACTCCAGGCTTCATAAATCTAGTATGACCTAGAAATTTTCAGAAGCTGGGTTTGAGATTTCAGCACAGAAAAGCTGTAGTGAAGTTGTTAACTTCAACAATGCAATACAGAATTAATTCTTCTGTGTTCATTCAGTCACAGCAATGTAGTGATTATAGTCCTCCAAGCCTTGCTTATTAGAAAAGCAGAGAGAAAATAAGGCATTGCCTATATAGACAGGGATTTGTTATGTGGTTGAAGGGCATAGGACTAAGCAATATAAAGAGATATACTAAAAAACTTTAAAAAAGTAAAAGATAGTTTTTGTAATTGTTCTTGCCCCTTTATTTGGCATTTTGACAATCTGCATAGTGCTCATACAATTACATATGTGAAAGTGATATGTGAAGTATTATTATTTATACAACTGTAGTTTATATCATCATATTTGATATGAGAATACATGAGAAGATTTAAACTCACCTCATATCTGGTGAAAAGTCCACTTGACAAGCATAACCTGCTACCATATGGCCCTTAAAAATTTTTTTCTTATTTAATCTAAATCTGTTCTGTGCTCCAAAAATCAAGATTTGGTTGTCCATTGACTGGCATGCTAGCCATTTCCCTGTAAATTCAATAAATGAAATATTTTAGAGAAAAACTGAAATTTAAAAAAGATTTTTTATTTTAAATACATTCAGTCATTAATATTCTTTTGTTCCCGACTACTTTATAATAATAGGAAAATAAATTTACCATATCATCTATAAAGTATTACAGATTTGTCACTGGCAAGAGGTATTTATACATATATAGGACTACAAAATCTATTACTTTATAATTGAGCACTCTTCATATAAAATTTTTTTAAAATAAGGATATACAGAAATTCTGAGTTTAGCATTAATAGAACTGAACTAAAATTTTATGAAATGAAATTGATATGTAGTAAGTATAGACAATACAACCATGGGAAGGAAAGACTTATCTATGTTAATTATAGGAAAAGGAAAGATCAATTTTAAGTGAGGAAACCCAGGATTATTAACTAAAACTATATGTAAAAAAGCTATGATTAAAAGAATTTCAGTAACTGTTGCCGAAAGGCCAGACTGCTTTTATCCACCCAGGATTCACCAAAGCCCCTAGAGCTTAAACTGCAGTGTCTTCTCGCATCCTGTATACTTGCAGACATTATTAACTAAGGGAATGACATGAACAATGCCCACAGTCTGAGCTGGTAAGTGGCCTTGTTAAAGATGAGTACAACACTTGTGAAGAATAGTTTAAATATACAGAACATGAAATGTAGATGCAGTGACAAATGTGACAAAGTATACAACATGGTGATTTATCAAAATAGGACCTAGTTAGGTTGTCTTCTCATAAAAATCATATGGCGTTAGACAAAAATGATCACTGATTTGCCTGTGGCAGATGTCTCAATGGAAGAGAGAACTATTTATTATCTGTTCTTCCTTGCTCTACACTCATAGCAGCTATGTGAGTTAACTGTGGCTTTGATGACAATGTTGCCCAAACATCAGATCCTCCACTTTAATACCCTCATGCAGAGCTATAATTATATCAGTATACTGCCAGCACATCTGCAGTACAAATTACCTTGCACTTAAAAGGCAACGCATTACGGAACAGAAAACAGTATTAAATAGATTTACTCTTTTTATTTTTGCCTGAGAAAATCTTTTATAGTGAGTTGCTAAGGTGTTCTCATTATGCGGAACCAGACCAAATTTTTATCTCCCCTAAAAGAAAAAGAGCTCAAAATAAATCACTAATGAGTTGTTGGACATGATTCTGTTGGAAGGGGATTAAGAAAAAAACAACAAAAACCCTGATTCTTAGATGGAAATCAGATAATTAGTCAACATTAAGTTGTAAATCATTATTTCTTTTATTTTTATTAAAAAAAAAGAGAGACTGGGTAAAAAAATATGAAAAAATAATTATTTCTAATAATGAGAAGATTTCCTTACATAGGTATGGCACAGCGACAGGCTTCCCATAGGAGGGAATGGCCAAGATTCTTTTAAACAGAAACCACACCATGTCTTAGAAAGCTCACTTAAAACACACATTCTATTTACTAACTCACCATTTGGAGACAAGGTCACTGCGGGCATAGAGTGCATACTGGGTTCTGCGATATACTTGAAATCCACAGGGATATCCCTAAAAATTAAAAATAGTATATAGAATAAGTAATCTTAAAAAGAATCTTCAGAAGAACTCTCTCTGAAACAAAAGAGATACTCTTGAAATGATATATTAAATAAATCTTTCAGGAAACTTCCTGGGGGAAGGAAAATCACAAAACGACATTCTATTGCTTAACATACATCTTTTACTTCACAAATGCCTTTCTGTGATAATTATAACAGTGTCAATGATTTAGTTTTTTAACTCTATTTGATTTAAAATTTGGCCTTTATGTTAAAAAAAATCTTACTAAAAGTTCTTTAATAATGAGCTCATCTAAAAATGTTATCATGGTAGGCAGAAGCAGGATGTCTGAGGCAAGCCTATAGGGAAACATTCTTATTTTATCTGCCAGGCAACCTTAACTTATTCTGCAAGCAGGTTGAGCTGTTTCCAGATATGATGAGACTTCAGGACGGGTAAGGGAGATTAAGTGCTTGGTACCTGGAAATCTTCTATTTTCAGTTGACATGAAAAATATTCCAAATATGTATGATGCAGGAGAAAAAGCATTAAATCAGAAGTTCAAAGTGCCTTTTCAGTTTTAATAGTCTCCATGATAAAAATTTCTTTAGTAACTTTGAAGGATTTTGGTCTTGTTGCTTTTCATAACAGACCTGAAATGTTTTTTTACAAACTAATGTGTGGGACATGTAATCTGATGTAATCTCAAAATATAAAAGAGCACTTTTAATTTCAAATCATGATTCAAGTTCCAAGACTTTGATTAAATGGAAAATAATAATGACAATGATTTGCCTTTAAGTAAAGATTTTCTCTATCCATCTATGCATCCATCCAGAAGAAGCAGCGAATCATTAGGAAAAAAATTCTATCAGGGTCTTGGTTAAAGACAAACATTTTCAGGCATAACCTAGGGAACGTTATCATTTATCAAGTCTACAATGCTTTACACATTTAAGATATCAGAATGACCCAAATGTATTGAAAAGAGACTCAATCTGCAAAAGATTCAACTGTTTTTCCCACCCCATATTTATTATTAGTGGCTAACATAAATACATTTTCTAAATTAAACTACCCATAGTCCAGGTTCATATCAAATTGTTTTACTAAAAATAAACAAAAAAATTTAAACAGATCCTTTATTTCAAGGGATCTTGGTACAATGAGCTCTAGAACTAGACATGAATTTGAACAACCTGTGAACGTCATTATTGCTAGTAAAAATGTCTGCTAGGCACAGTCGTATTTAATAAACACAACGCTTTTCTAATTAGAAACTATAATTTAGTATAATGAGTTGTAACTTATGTCTTATAAATAATCTTCAGTCTGGAAATGAAATAATTGAAAAAACTCTAATAAAAATCTATGAAAATTTAAAACTAAAAGATAAACAATAACAACCTCTGTAAAATTTTCTTTTAAAAATATTTTAACAAAATAAAATGAGAAAACATGTCCATGACATCTAAGAATTTAGCCAATTAGAAAGTTTCCTTTCATTTGTGTATCATTGTGCTACTCTAAGCAGGTAAAGGATATAAAAGTTTGACAAATAGCACTTGTCTGAAGGTCCCAGAGATGATAATTTTCCTACTGTTGGAGTCAGTTCTCATTTTGAGGTGGTCAGGGCCTCCCTTACTCTCCCTAGCTTCATGGCAAGCAAGCTGCCAGTATCACCAGTAACTGATTTCTGGGTCGGTTTTATGTAGTGAAGACAGTTCCAGGGATGCTGAGGTAGTTTTGCTTCTACTTGTCTTCATAGCAAGACTGATCCTCACATTTATTACTTTTTGACTAATCAATTTAGATACAAGTTATCTTCTCTCCCCACCAACCCTTCATTTATCTAACTATCCATCCATATGATTGGATGTTTTATGGAAGCCTCATGTTATCTACAAAGCAAAATCCTGGAATAAAAACACAAAGGATAAAGTGAAAAGAATCAAAGCATACCACTACAGAAAATCGTCAAGTCACAAAAGAAGAGAGAAGAAACAAAGGAACTATACAACAACCAGAAAACAATGAATGAAATGGCAACAGTAAATCCATATCTATCAGTAATTACTTTAATGTAAATGGACTAAATTTTCCAAAAGCCATAAAGTGGCCGAATGGATAAAAACAACAACAACAACAACAACAAGAACCAACTCTATGCTGCCTACAAGAGAACTAATTCACATAGAATGAAAATGAAGGGATAAAGATATTCCATTAAAAAGGAAATCAAAAGAAAGCAGGGATAGCTATAGTTATATGAGACAAAACAGACTTTAAGCCATGTTCATGAATAGAAAGAATTAATAGCATTAAAATGTCCATATTAGCCAAAGCAATTTAGAGAATCGATGCAATACATACCAAAATTCGAATGACATGTTTCACTGAAATAGAACAAACAATCCTTAAATTCGTATGGGACCACAAAGACTCTAAAGCAATCCTGAGAAAGGAGAACAAAGCAGGAAGCATCACACGTCCTGATTTCAAACTATATTACACGCTATAGTCATTAAAACAGCATGGTATTGGCATAAAAACAGACACACAGATCAAATGGAATAGAGAGCCTAGAAATAAACCCTTGCATAGATGGTCAATTAATTTTCAACAAAGGAGCCAAGATTATACAATGCGGAAAGGACAGTCTCTTCAATAATGGTATTTGGAAAACTTGATATCTACATGCAAAAGAATGAAACTGAACCCCTATCTTATACCATACACAGAAATCAATTCGAAATGGATTAAAGACCTGAACATAAGACCTGAAACTATGCAACTCCTGGAAGAAACATAGGGGATAAGCTCCCTGACATTGGTCTTGGCAATGACTTTTTGCATGACACCTTAAAAAGGCAACAAAAGCCAAAATAAACAAGTGGGACTACCTCAAAGTAAAAAGCTTCCATACAGCAAAGGAAATCACAGACAAAATGAAAAGGTAACTAGGAAATGGGAGAAAATATCTGCAAACCACATTTCTGATAAGGGGTCAATATCTAAAATATATAAGGAACTCATACAATGAATAGCAAAAAAACCACATAACCCAATTAAAAAATGTGCAAAAGACCTGAATAGACATTTTCCTATGGAAGACATATAAATGTCCATCAGGTACTGGAAAAAGTGCTCAACATCACTAATCATCAAGGGAATGCAAACCAAAACCACAATGAGACATCAACTTACACTTGCTAAGATGGCTAATATCAAAAAGACAAGCAATAACAAATGCTGGTAAGAATGTGGAGAAAAGAGAACCCTGTACACAGTTGGTAGAAATGTAAACTGGTACAGTCTCTACAGAAACAGTATGGATGTTCCTCAAGAAATTAAAAATAGATCTATCAATCCTACTCGTGGGTATATATCCACAGGAAACGAAATCACTCTATCAAAGAGATATTCGTACTTCCATGTTCAATATAGCATTATTCACAATAGCCAAGGTATGGAAACGACCTAAATTATCTGTGAATGGATGAATGGATAAAGAAAATATGGTATTTATACACATAATAGCCTTAAAAAATAAAGAGATCCTGCTACTTGTGACAACATGAACTTGGAGGACATCATGCTAAGTGAAATAAGCTGAACAGAGAAAGACAAATAATGCATGCTATCATTTATGTGTGCAGTCTTTAAAGAAAAAAAAGTCAAACTAAGAGAAGCAGAGAGTGTAGGGAAAAAGCCGAGGCTAGTAAAAGGGTAGAAACATTTAGTGGTAAGATGAATAGTGGTAAGGCCTGAAGATCTAACGTATAACATGGCAACTACAGTTGATATTGTATTAATTAATTGAAATTTTCTAAGAGCAGAACCTAAGTGTTCTCATTCCCCCCCACTCCCTAAAAAGGTAAATATGTGGTGACAGATGTGTTAAATAACTCAGGGGGAATATTTTCACAATGTATATGTATGTCAAGTCATTATATTATATACTTTAAACATATTAAATTTTATTTGCCAGTTTACCTTAATATAGCTAAAAAAATGTCAAGTTTGGAATCATTTTGATCTGAAATAAAATGCTTAGTGTACCTGGCACATAGAAAGGGCTCGATAAATGTAATATCATTAATAATTATGACAATAATGATTTCCTTAGATATTCAGTGCATACTATATGCTAGTCACAATGCTGGTGCCGGGGACAGATGGAGAGCAGACAGAGGTCTTTTTCTCTCACGATTAAGACCTTGTCAGGGAAGAGGAACAAATATGCAAGCACTAAAAAATTCTGGGAAGCAAAGGGTTTGTGGGATGACAGTGAAGAGGGACCTATCCTCATATGAAGATTAGTTAGGAAGGCTTCAGCAGCAAGTGAAGCAGCAACCGAAATTTAAAGAATGTCATCATTTATAATAAAATAGTATTATGCCTCTTAGGAATATTATTTAAGCTCTAAAAAGAAAAAAAACCCTTGCTAATATCACCCCTTCATTAAGTCAAAATATTTTGCTGGCCAATACTCTAAATTTAGAATACACACAAGTGTTCTTAAAGCCCTGTAACTGGTGCTTCATTTAAATATTTCCCAATTTCTTTTATACTACTCCGCATTTTAAAAAGAAGCGAAAAATGAAGATACAAACATCTGAAGAAACATCTAAAAGTTCAAGTACAATCAAACTGTTAAAGTATCTTAACAAAATAAAGCAAGTATATGGATATTCATTCTCCAGAGTACTGTTTAAATAATCTAAGGTGATTCATATAAAACCTGGTGTCCCTATCAGATTCTCTGCAGGTAACATCATTTTTGAAGACAGATCTTAATTATAAGATAGTCTCAAATCATGGAGCTTAAGGATGATGTTAACACTATATAAAATATAGCCAACTCTCCCTTTACTGGGGGTAATTTGGAGGAGTGCACTGGTGGTGAGTGTGGGAGAAACTGTGGTAAAATTACATTAAATTTTCAGTTACCTAAATTACCTTGACAAAGGTTAGGGACCTCCTCAGCTCCCCAGAGGGACTCAGTTTCAGGAGGAAACTACTGGCTGTAGTTCAAGGCTTCACACCTCCTACTGCAGAACAACCTCTGGGGTGGGAAGACATACTTTCTACTTCCTGCAAGGCTGTACCCATGGTTGAGCTGTGCTTCATAACCATCAAAACTAGCTGGGTTCCATTCAAACATTCATTTTAACTAGATTATCATACATTTTTTCAGAAATAAATGATAAAACATGATCTGTGATACTTAATGAAATTAGCTTTTAGTATTTCTTGACTTTAGTTTTTTTAAATTTTCTCTAGGAAAGCAAAATTAACCAATATATTGATTGTATTCTACAAGTAAAATGTTTGTTTTCTACCATATGGGCTATTAATGGCAGGAAACAAAGGTGATGACAGGAGGAAATTTTCAGTATTAAACAGTCAAAATGTAGAGATTTAAAATATTAGGAGATTTTTTTCAATGTTTTCTTTGGGCTGGTTCTGAGTCCAAGATCACATGCTCAAATTCTAGTGTAATCAATATAGTCTATATATTTGTGGCCTCTATGTCAGTTATTTTGCAAAGATAAATAAGATGCCTAATAAAGAATGTTAAAGATTGCACAATGCAAACTTTTCACCACTGCCAGAAAAATGACTCAAAATAAATATCCTTTGGATAGATTATCCAAAGACTATGAGAAGTAGCATGTTTAAAATTTTATCTCCACATTCTGGATACTAAACAGTTAAAACAGTTTGACTGGCAAGCCAGAAATCACAGTTGTGAAAATATTCAAATGGTCGCATAATAACTGGCTTTGTCTTTGGCCACAAATTTTTAAATTGCTTGCTTTATATTATCAGATTTTCTACTGACAGAAACTCACCATTCCCAAACTCTTAGGCTCTTATCGTCAGATGTGCTCACAAATCTCCTATTTTCATCAACAAAAACAATGGTGTTGACAGCTCCCAAATGCCGATCATATTCCTGCACAATTTCTCCACTTCGAATGTCCCACTGTATATCAAACAAGAGAAGAAATCAAGACAAATGAAAATTTATGAAAACAAACAAAGATCATAATTCTGGAAAATAGAGAGAGGAAAAGATTTCCAACTGCATGTTTTTATGAATTTACTATTTTCTAACAAGAAGAGAGCATCAGTAGTCCCTAGAAGTAGCAAACATTAAAGAAGTTAATATTCCTTATTCCATTCCCTGATACAAAACAAAGCTCTGGGATCTTAATAAAAATACTGTAAAAGACTTACTTGCACAATCTTTTTATCAGACATCCCAGCCACGAAGAGATTTTGCTTATCTTCATCAGGATTAAATTTGACACAATAGGGTACTTTTCGGTTTGTAAATCTTGATATACACTGTCCTGAAACCAAAGACCCAAGTTAAAGTAGCTAAAATAAATTTGGCCACTTAAAGATAACCCTGGAATTAAGATCTAGAGATTATTTGCTTAATAAATTCTGAGGAAAGGCAGCCTGCTTGTTCTTTGTTGTAAATCACATGTTCTTTTCACGGATTTTTAATGATTAAAAGTAATCTGTAAAATCATTTGCAGAATAGATAAATCTCTCCAGGTGATTAGGATGTGCAGCCAGAGTTGAGGAACACTGCTAAAGAGGTTAAAAGGAGGACTCTGGCATTAGAGACTTTGGTATGAACCCAATTTGGCCATTTTACTAGCTGTGTGACCCTGAAAAAGTTACCTTTTTAAGCCTCAGTTTCCTCATCTATAACAATAATAGTATATATCTCACAGGGACATTTTAAGGACTGAATGAGATACTGTATATAGAAAGCATTTAGCATAATACCTGTGTAAACACATAATGTAAACAATAAGTGTTCAATAAACATTAGCTATTATCTTTACTCTTTAAACTCAGCAAGATGAAAGATGGTTGTCTATATAAAATTATACTAGCCATAATGCAATGATGTAATTCATGTCTGTGAATATACAAGACAACTGGACCATGGAAGTTTAGACCTATATTTGAATCAATCTGGGCAATTAAAATTAATTGTTCATCAGACATCCATTATGCTTCTAATATGTACAATGCAGTGTGCTAGGTGATGTAGGGGAACTAAAAGATCAATTAAATAGTCTATGGAAGATTTAAAATTTCCTGTCTATTAATATTTTTGCTTTATAAATTATATTTGGTAAAAACAAAGTTTCATAGTGAAATAGTTACTCGTATAGCTGAGTTTCAACTCTACAAACATTTTGTGATATAGGTTGAGAGTCAATAATGAGAATTAGTAGTTAGAGAAGGTACCATTTTGCCACAGAAGACCACTCACATGTTTTATTTTAAAATGCTACTTGATAAGATAATTATGTATTAGTATAAGTGAGCTCTTACCTGTCTCAGTGTCCCAGAGCTTAAGATACCTGTCATAAGCTGCACTGAGGAACTGTGTTCCTGCAGTATTAAAGCAGATGTCCCTAACAGCTTTACCGTGACCTAAAGGCAAAGACAAAACAATGGAGATGAGGTGAAGTATCTTCTTTTAAAACATAAACACCGTAAGGGAAAACAGCATGAAACAGTGTTTTTCAAGCCACCCTTTGAGTTGAAATCACTAGAACCCAATGCCCTGATTTAATGACTCAGAATTGGTTATATGTGGGCTTGAGAATGTAGGTGGTTTTTGCTCCTCCCCTCCTTCAAAAAGCTTCTCAGGTGATTCTGATGCATAACATTTAGGTAAGAACCAAGAGAAAAGATCTAACTTTTTTTTTTAAGTCTGTCATGGTAATCTCTTAATATGTAATATATATAACCGATGACTAAACAGCTAAGAATTTAAGAAAACATAATAGGCCAATTAGTGTCAATGAATGAGAAATGACTGGTGACATTTTGGAGGTTTATTCTCATATTACTCACCATGCTGGAAGTGAAAACAGAGTGACCTAAACTCAAAGTTCATAAAAATTACAGCCTCTGTTCAATAACTGTGTATTTGTGATCATATTACCAAATTTCACAGAAATCGATTCAGAATCTCAGAGACAAAGCCTTTTTATAAACAAATATTAACTTCTATTTTGTTTTAAGATGGCATTTTGAAAACAAATTAATTTTAAAGTGCTTGGCTTAAAATCAATCTTGCCAGAGCCGTCAACTCTTTAGAAAATTACAGGGAAAAAATAAAACATGGCTCAATGAAAGCAGAAACTTTCCTATTTCTTACCACCTCACCATGACTAAGACTGCTAAGTACAATTGTCCAAAACATACATGACACAAAATTGTCAACCATATACAGCAGCCCTGAACAACCATCACCAATGAACTCTCATCAGGAGCTACGTACCATGGCAATTAGGCATTCTTTTCTATAGCAGGAGTCCTAGTCAGACCTGCTAACATTCTCCTACGTAGGAAATTTTCAGATTCCCACGAAAAAACTGTTGGCAGTACAGGGGAGACAAATGGGGACCAGATCCACTACATCTGCAGGAGACATTTTGTTCCACTGTATGCTGCTGAGAGCCTTCCCACTAGTTTTTCTTCTTTAGGCTGCTGTGACATCTTGGGCAATATCTATTTGTGCAGGGAGGCCTTAAAATCATAAAGCACAGCAGAACAGACTCCCATTTCAATCTAAAAACAGAGCCACTACGATTCACACAAATAGTGTTTCAATGCAGTACAGTTAAATTTAGAAATGTAGCTAGCCTTCACACAAAATCTGACAAAGACAATAAACAATTCTCTACCAAAAAGGCTTGTCTGCCACAAAGCTGTCCTCTCTTTGGCCCTCTTCTGTCCTTCAAGGAGTTTTCTCAATCTTATCCTTTTTATGCTTTGGTTGCCAATTCCTGACCTCTTTTCAAAGCTTAACATCTGGCTATCTAATTGCTTACTGGACATTTTCATTTCGATATCCCAAAGGAAGCTCAAATTCAGTGAGTCTGAAACCTCTTCTGTTCCTTCTCTTGGTAAATGACACTACCATTCATCCAACCACTTAGGAGTCACCCTAGATTCCTCCCTCACCGTTATCACTCACATCCAGTTAATAAGTCCCACTGATTTTAACAATTAATTAATCCTTTCCTCTCTACTTCTGCTTTAGTTCAGGCTCTCATCTCTAATCCAGACCAATGAAATAATCTTGTAATTCATTTCCCTGCCTCCAGGCCTGCCTCATCAAAGCATTCTCCAATATTGCCACTGTGATCTTTGTAAACTTCATATCTGATCATGTTGCTTTCCTAAAAGACTGTTTTAATAGCTGGCTTCCCATGGCCCTCAGGATAGAGTCTAAACTCCTAATTAATGGCACACAAGATCTTCCATACTGTGCCCACCCCACTTCTGCTTTTCTTACTTTCATTGCTCACCATATCCCACACTCTGGCAATTCTGAAATATATGTGGTTCCCCCAAAGCGGCACGCTTTCTCATACCGCTTTTGCTTTTGCTTCTACTGCTCTCTCTTCTTAGTTCTTTCTTTGTCTATGTGGGGAGATTTACTCCCTCTCCAAGACTCAGCTCAAGACTTTCATTCATGTTAGTGTAGTAAAATTATGGTCAATGTTAAAAAGTTTAACAAGTCTCTTCAAACAGATTTATAGTCACAGAAAAAAATGCATTACCAATAAATGTTCGCAAACAGCGCCTGTCTCCATAAACCTCCCATAGCTAGGGAAAAAAAACACATAGAAGCATTAAATTTTAATATAAGACTTCGATAAAATGACAACTTTTTATCAGTAACTTTTTATTAGTCTATGTTTGTGCATATCTATATGTGTACAGGGGATTTACAAAGGCATTATACATCATTACATATATTGCTTGGCGATGCTAGTCTGTGTTGCACTATTTGGACTCATGGACACACACACACACACACACACACACACTTTAAAACTAAACTTGAAATCAGATCCTGAAAAATACATCAAAATATCACTAGAACTTAGAGCTAATACAGGTGCTTTTATTTTCTTCTTATTCTTTTCTGTATTTAATATATTTTCTATGATGAGAAGTTTCTACTTAAGTAACACTGTAAACTACTTTTAAAATAATTAAATGTTATTAAAACTGGCATGTTTATGACATTTTGGTACTGAAAGGTTTTTTTTTTTAACTTTTTCTGAAGTAATAAGTATTACAGAAACTATACTATGAAAATGATGATACTAAAATGTCACACCTAAAGTGAATTAACATGATAGTTTCAAAACTACCTTCGTTCTTGCCTAACTCAAATCCAGTCCTGTTGCTAGTCCTCTAAAATAAAAAGAATCTCCTGGCTACCTAGGGCCAACAGGATAAAGTCTCAGTTCCTGCAGCATACATACTAGGCAAGTACCTCCAGGACCTAGTTCTTTGCCTGTGACTGTAGTAGTCATCCTGCCTCAGATTTGACTCCAGAAACCATGAAACTCATCATTTATAGCACATACCATGCTGATTCATTCTATTCACTCTTCTCGGATACTTGGTATCTACTAGCATTTATAAGAAAAAGGATGAATTACATTATTTATCCTCTAAAAATGGGATTTCTAGCATGTGTCCTCTCTACCTCATAAGGTTCTGAGGAACAAATGAACTCCGTTACATATACAAAAATCTCTTATAAATTCATTGTTACTGAGTAAACATTTGTGTGTCTGAAGCCAAAGTGACTGATTATATTCTAATCAGTTATCTAAGCTTACAAAAGCACCCAGTCAAATGGACCACAGAGCCATATCTGAATCAACATGTTTAGAAGCAGTTCCTAAAGTGCTGTATTCACAGGGCCTAAGAGACAATAATTAGCCTCTAATTACATAACAAAGCTAAATTTACTTATAATTAACCAAAAGCAAGTCTGCACTAGCTCTGCAGACTCCTACTCTGTTACGGAAAACTCACCTTAATTTTACAGTCCATGGAACAAGACAGCAATAAATGGCCAGAGAGAGGAAACAATCTGACTGCACTGACACCCTATAAAAAGGTATTACAGTTATCAATCAGAAGAATTCTAAAATCAGCTAACGTCAAATATAAATAAAGGACAGTATATTTTTAAGCAACCTAATTTATTATTTTTCTTCAGTCCAAAAATCATGTCCCAGAATAATCTTCATTAGGATTCCAAGGGCAGCCCTTACTGACACTAAGCTTCTGAAGATTTGATTTTTAACCTTTAATATGGACTTCCTCGCCCAAGGGCATTCTTAGTCGATCAACTGCTAATGTTCCCCACTCCTCTCCTTTCTTTCACTCAGTCCCTTTGCTCTTTGCTAAGAGATGTAAATTGTCAGTTGGAATAATGCAGATGACAAAGATTATCGATATCAAAAGTTTTCAAGTATCTTGCCTCTGCATTAGTTTAAATATTATCATAGTTTATAAACCAGGTAACAGCTAATCTTTGAAGGGTGGTAACCTCAAGAGCTAAGGCAAAATTACTGAGGCTCTGATGCTAGCTAGGACAAGCCCATTACTCACTGACTTGGTGCCCAAGAGGAGGAAAGCTGTGGCAGGAACTCGGAGGGAAAGACCGTAAGTGGATAAAACCAGAATCACAAATTCTTATGTCACAGCCAATCCAGATAACCTTGAAGACTGAGTCATCATTTGTGATTGGTATGTGTGGGTACCTCCAAAGCCTAACTCAGGTTTATCTTCAATTTATTTTCTCTGCTCTATCTTGACTTCCCTATATCTTTACTGGGAACAGTGAATATTCCACATCAATAGCTGAAACTTTACATTGGCTTCACTATTATACATCATAACAAGCAAAAATAACCAATTTGCTTACCTTGGTATGTCCGGACCATACATGAATTTGTTTTTTGGGAAGATAACACTTCTCAGGTGGCACAGCTGACCGAAGATTAACACCAACATCCTGAGGTATGTGGAGATAGGACCTGCCTTGATAGTCATACATTTCTTTAACTGAAATAAGAAGGCAAAGGAAAGCAATGAACAAATACAAGCCACGGCCATGAAATCTGTATCCTTAAAATAAAAACGTTTATTCATAGAGGTATTATTCCACATTAAGAATTTGGTAATAACATTCTGATGATGTTAAGACCAAGATTAGCTAATATTTAGCTGCCTGAAACCATCACTATTATTTATAATTAGAGGTATTTTTGAATTTCTAAATATCTAGAGAATATTAGACCTCTAAATAAGATCTACAATTCTTTTACTCAGTTACAGATTTTAGTGATACATAAAAGGCTTCACTGCAGTATAATTACAGTGAGGGAAGAAAAAATAATACTTGGGCCTTGTGAGTCACACTGGTGAAGAATCAGAAGCAAAAGAGGATAGGAAGGAAGTTAAAACAAACCAAAAAATATTAGCTATCCTTTCCCCCTGCTTTCCTCTTTTATGCCTTTCTAGGTTCCTTTTCCATTCCCTTTTCTACTTTCAACACAGATTTCACAATAAAGTCACTTATGCAAATTCAATGGCATAGTATATATAAGGCATTTAGTAGCATGCCTGGCAGAGTAAGTAATAAATAAATGCTGGCTGTTATTATTATGGCTGCAAACACTAGAGTACTAAATGGACTCCTTGGAGATAAAACTGGAGCTCGAGAAACCAAATATGGCTTCATCAAACCTAAATATTTGATATGTGATATAACATTAGAATAATCAATACTATCAGTACTGAATTATTCTTTACAGTTTCAGGAACCATTACATAATTTCCTAAATATAACTATTAATGAACCAGGTACATTCTAGCATATTTATAATTTATTTTGGTGTATATACATTTCCTTCCACAAGTCAAAATAAGTATGAGAGTCTTAATCTCCAATCTATTCACATAAAAAACAAAGTACATTCTCTTAAAGTATAATTCAGTTACTGTGAGAATACCTGGAGAATATTTGATTTGGATTAAAAACAAAAAAGGTTAAAATGACTGGGCACTATTGACATACCAGAAAGAGTCAAGTTTATCTTAGGAAAGAAGGTGTGGAACATTTAGGTTTCTTCTTTATCATTTTGTAAAAATTCATCAGCACTAAAAAAAATCTGTTGCTATTATTAATCATGCTATTTCTCTCCCTTATTAGAACACAGAAGAGTTTGCTGTAATTTCTTTGAAATACAAATTGTCAAATATAATTCTCAATATAATGAATTGTAGGAGCTAATGACGGCGACTGATATTACATGAACAGAGACTAAAGTAAATATCTCTAAGTTTATCACAAAAATGAAGAAGCATAAAAAATATATTACCATGTAAGATTGTCTTTTCCTCCCCAGGTTTCTCTTCCTCCTGTTTGCCTTTTTTCTGCCTCTTTGCTGTAATTTCATCCAATTCTTTTTGTTCTTCCTAAGAAAAGTAAGGAGTGAACTTTAAAATGGAAGTTCTAGAACCCAATCATGGCCAAAGCTGGTCATAAATTCTTTATAATGAAGTCTACTTTTTGGTGAAGCAATAGCTTCAAGGATGTCTCCCAGGATAATGATCTCAACTTCTTAACAGATTACAAAATGATAATAAACACATAATGGTTACTACTTAATACTTTTAAACTTTTTATACAAAATCTATCCTTCTGAAACACCTAGAAATAAATTTAACATATTATGCTAACTACACAAGTGAAAAGGACTAGGAGTTAGAACATCTAGTTCCAGAAAGAAAACTGAATTTTAGTACATAATGTTGTTCTTCAGTAAACAGCTTTTATATAGTCATAGGGATATAAGTAATGACAATAGATTTGTGACTACTTTTATGGGAGGAGCAGTGGAAGGAAGGTGAAGTAGTAGAACATCTTTATAATAACAAGTCAAACAGATGATGTATAAAATAAGTAAATAGCAGCATTATGTATATAACTAAGATAGATGGAGGTAAGATACAGACAGAATACAAGCTTCGTGAGGCTAGGATTGTCTTGATCTTGTCCATTACTGTATCCCTAAGATCTAGAACAGTGACCGTCTAAGAGACAGAAGGATCAGAAGGTAGGGAGGAACATGGTAGGGGTCTATGGTTTTACTTAATAAACTTTGTAGTATAATTAAACAAACCAGAAAAAAATATATATACACATTACTTTGATAAAAATTTTAAATAAAATAATAAATAAAACCCACATTGACTCTAAAATCATTGAAAGGCTGATTCTTTAGTTACTATCTGAGTATCTGGTACTGGAAGAGCAGCTACTATTGCAGCATAACAGCTTTATCAAGGGGATTTTTATTAAAAATTGTTCAATGTTGAATTATAATAAAAAAGTATGGAAGAAAATAAATCAGAGAAAATAAAGTAAAATAAATCAGAGAAAATATAAGTAAAAATATTCCAAAGAAAAATAAAGAAACTATTTTTTCAATTAATAGAGGTAGAAAAATTTTGATGAGTAATTTGGTTTTCTAAGGAAATTTGAAGTTTATTAATATAGATATGCTTCAGAGAGATACAGCATACACCTAAATTGACAATGAAATCATCAGAGCTTACTTCTGAAGGTTTGGCTACATCTTTTTCATCTACATATTTTGCCCAAGGTCCCAAGAAACCATCAATATTAGATGCGTCATTTTCTTTGAACTTTTTCCTCTTTTCGATTTTCTTCTGACCAGTTTCAAATACAGTTAAACCTACATTAAAAAAAAAAAAATAGACATCACGAATATGGTTTTTCTAAAGAAATAGCAGCATATGAATAATTTTACTTTATATGGTTAGAAAAAGGTGATTATTCATGTGACCAAAGATGTACTAAAAAATACAAATAAAATCTGTATGAATATGCCAGATATACCAACTTATGTCATACAAAAAGGGATTCGACCTGGGCAAAGAAGTTTTCTAACACTGCAATATTTTGTAAGTTCTAATTTATGTCAAGAAAAGACCCAGCTATGTAATCTTGTAATAGTATGCAATCCTTTTAATGAATCACAAATCTATATAAGTGGATTACCACTTTTTGAAAGAAACTCAGCAATTTAATATTGCTAAATAATGATAAAGCTACCTTTGAAAACAAGAATAAACTAAAATTTATCATTTACAAACAGAAGTAGATGAAATTACATTAAGTAACTGATAACTTATCTTTAATTTACCTATAACGCAGCAATATAAATTTAACAGTTTCACAAGAATCTGGTATTTCTTCCAAGTGATCTCAATCTAAACTTGACCTCTAATATAAATCTTAACAGTAAGAGGGAAAGAAGAAAGAAGATGTTTGTGGTTGAGCTTTAGATTTGAACAACAGAAGGGGGCTTCTGTGTACAGTCATGAAATTGAAATAAAGGTTTATGGGAGTCATGGTCACAATTCAATTGTTAACTGAGAATCTAGCTATACACATGTGTGGCTTGTAGAGGTCTAACTTAAAGGAAAAAGCTCACCTACGTTAATACAAATCAGTTTCCTTTAGGTTCTGTGTTATAACAAAAGCTTGTTAAAATTCTCTTTTAACAATTATATAGTTTATATACCTAGGGCAGCTTGATCACATAGGGTCTGTAGCTACTAAGTGTCCTTGTACAAACAGCATATTCTGTTTTAATGAGCATTTTATGAATAAAGTTCCAATGGGCCGATGACCTTTGTGACAAGCTGGCATTTAGAATTTGATACTTGCCTAATAATAAACACAAAATGAATATGAGCGCAACCATGTATTTTAAAATACACATTCAAAAATTCAGCTTTTATGCAACATTTCAAAGACAATCTCCACAGACATGCACAATGAAATTTTTTCTGTTCTGTTAAAATGGAGCTTGACATTAGCATTGAGAAATGACTTCTAAAATTAACTTATATACATTAATTATAACTTATTAAATGATTTCTACAGAGTCTACTTGGTACTATGCCAGGTACTCACAATAACTCTCCTGTTATAGGTACAACGATCTTTCCTACAAATCCAGTAAGTGGCAAAAGCAGCTCAAAAACTATAAGTTCTAAACTATATTGTTCTAAACTGAATCAATATTGTCTCAACTTAAAAAAAAAAACAAAACCAAGAGCTAAATAAAATACTAGATTTTTCCTGCTGTCTAAAGTCAATTTGCAAGATAGTGATTATAGGTGTATATATAATCTCAAATAAATTACCTTGATTTTTTTCAGCTTCTTCTACAGAACCAATATACTTAGTAGCCACTTGATGATTATCTAATGAAGGGTCCAATGCATAACCTGAAAGGAAAAAAGTACAAAATATTGACTCTATTTTTTGTCATTTACAATTCACTTTTATTCTATGCAAATATATTCCTTTCACATTTTCCTCCCCAGATGTCAAAAATGGTCTCTTTAACTTAGGACCAATCCTTCTTTCCTGAACTACGTTTCTACTTAGAACAATTAACCCAAATCTTAGGCTAGACCAGGAGTGACTTCAGTAGAATAAGAAGTATCTTACAGGATGAAGCTAGCATACCGACGTATTACTAAGAGCCTCTCAGGCGAAGATATCATACTGCTGTGTTAAATTTTTTAAGAGCTTAAAAATATACATATATTATACATTCAGAAATTTAGAAACTCTTTTTCTTGTTGGCAACAGATAATACATAGCTTAATATATCGAATTATATAAACTATTAAGTAATAAAAAATAGGGTAAGAAGAATCACAAAAAAATCTAGCTATTATTTTGAATATCCTATTCCCAGTAAAGACAGTCTGTCCTCCAAATTTTAAAATAAAATATTCCTACCTCATAAATCATTATTTACATATCCTTGGTAAGAGAAGTAAGGATATCTACTAGCATATGAATATACTCCTTCAACTAGAGATAGAGTATGTAGCTACATATAAATGTGGTCTCCAGTGGTCTACGGGAAGTGAAGGAAAGAAAGTCTATATTAACTCAAATCAGTTTTTTCTCAAGTAGGGGTGCTAGCATGATAAATGTTTGGTAAAATCAGTTTTAACAGTAATCTAGCATATTCACAAAAGAGAGATCATTAATCAGTCTATGGCCTACAACCACATGAACAATCATGGAGTATATAAAAGTACTAGCCCATTTTTTTCTTAAGGACACATGTTAGTGGATATAGTTAACATTTTCATTTTCCAGCTAAAGATTAAAAGGCACTTCTTTTGAGAAACAAAAAAAGATTTGTCATCAAATGCACTTTTCAAAGAAGCTGAGGTGGTAAGTGCCCAACTCACTCTCATGATATGCTTAGAATAGAAACAACCACCTGTCTATTAGCTCATTTGCATGTAGTTTTCTTCAGTATGTAAAATATGTTTTTAGCCAGAGAGAGCCTGAAAAGTATGTTTGGAATAGAATCTCTGAAATCATAGGTTCATTTTTTAATATGTAGAACAGAGTTCTATATACTATTTTTCACTTTTTTAATATATAGAACAGGGTTCTGTAAAATGGTATTTTTAAAAAATGAGACTACATAAGGCTCATATAAAATTTAGACAACATATCATAAATTAAAAGTCCCCACCTCAATCATAAAAACGTATCTGGAATATAATTCAATCTTGAAGAATATGTCTCTATAAATGTCATTGCATTATGTGTTTAGAGGGATGGAGTAGGAAGCACAGAAGGAAGGGTGATTCCTGGTCCCTGGTCCTTCCTGTGTTAACTGTGTAAGCACCAATCCTCAACTTAATCCGGCCATAGTCTTGTTTCGGAGAAAAGGAACTTATGCTCCTCTCCTTTACCACATCTTTTGTGGTAAAATCTTTGCTGGTACTATCACCATTAACACTGCTGCCTCCCACCCCAGGTGATTAGGGTATAATAGTATTTCATTTACAAATAAGAGAAGTTAAACTACTTAGCTAGACATCAAACTAGAAGTCAGCCAACATCGGAATAAGATAGAATTCTAATACTACAGAATTTCAGTCCAATCTGTTTTCTACTCTTATCTCGAATAAATAAATATATCTGCATTTTAGTTCTGAAATATTCTTATCTTTCTGAAGTGTATTTTCCATTTTATCTTTCTTAATGGAGTTAATATCTTTCGCTTATAGTCTTATATGAAATGGCTATCGACGTTGATAATAATCCCTAAGAAGACTATTAATACTAGCATCCAAAAAGGTAAATGAGAAGAGACTAAACAATTTGCAAAAGCATGGTTACAAATACAGGCATACCTCAAAGATATTGCGGGTTCGGTTCCAGACCACCGCAATAAAGTGGAGTAGTATTCTTTTTCCTGGCGGATCATCTTGCCTTTAATTTGTAAAAAAACGCAACATCTGTGAAGCGCAATAAAGTGAAGCGCAATAAAATGAGGTATGCCTATATATGTAAAAACCTTCGACCTCACCAATAGTCCAAAAGAATAAAATTTAAACAAAGACAGATAATATTTTATCAAATAAAGGAAAAACAATCATGGATCTTGGGTAAGGAGAAGTAGTGGTGGCGGTAGTGTAAGAAGAAAGAATTCTTTTGGAAAGCATTTTCACAATATGTAACAAAAGCTTTAAAAACATTTATATTTAGACCTACTTCTGAGAATTCACATTAAGAAAATAATGAAAAAACTCAGTTTTATGCACAAAGATATTTCACCACATTTTAAAAAGCATTTTACTGCACTTTAATATATACATTACCACATTTTTAACAGTGAAAACTGGAACCAACTTGTAATCTTAATAAGAAATTTTTATATAAATTACACCTTCATTCAGCAGAGTATTTAAAAAATCATTTAAAAAGGTTAATCAAGATTTCCTAATATTGAAGTTAAAACTAAGTTACTAACAACTATGGTGAAACTGAAGGTGTTTAAATTCTATTCTCCACTTCCATAGACTGGTGCAGAGAAAATTCTGGGTGAAGGTAGAACAAGAAATCTCATTGAGAAGCCCTAAGACCAGCAAAGGACAAACAGACCAGGAGTCCAAGAGGAAAAGGGAGGTAACAGGACAAAGGAATTCATACAAACCATTGAGAGACTGAGAAGTTAGGAGAAATACCATAAATGTGAGCTAAAAGCAAAACTGTAGAATAAGTAAACGAGATGATACAGCAAATGAGACCATCTTCACTGATAAGGACTCTACAGGTGAGTTCTGTGGTGAACTAAATGTATTAAACAATATAAATGTTCCACAAGTAATACACTTAGATTACAACACTGCTACAACTATTTAAAAATGGGGCGGGGGGAGCAGAATTGTTTGTTCTATATCGTAGGAGAATATAACTATGAGACAGGTAAAACTGAATTCATGGGCCAGCTCCTTTATGTCTTGTATGTAACACTGGCACAAACAGAAGGTTTGCTCCCTGGTACTTTGCAAATGAGAGAAGGTAACAGAAAGTTCTCATGGCCTTACATTCTATGTATAAGAGCGAGAAAAAACTGTTTCTCTCACTATCTAAAAGGAATCACTGTCCGAAATTAGACAAGAACTTTCTATGAGGAATTATAAGACTTTTAAATTAACAGAAGCTATACTTGCTTAATACTTGGGGGGAGGAAAAAAAAAAAAACGGAGACTGCTAACCCTGAGGTTGATTAACTAGTTTATTGATTTAAATTCAAACAAGATGCTCTCAGTTGTAAGATTATAAGGGAGACAGATCATAATTTTTTTTGTTTTGGAACTGGCCACTCCCTCTATTCCAGGCTGCCTACTCTAGTATAGCCCCACATTCATTTTTTTGGTCTTTAATTCACTAAATAATTCAGCCTGTGTCCTAACCCAACCCCTCCTAATGAAAGAGGCAAAAAACACCAGGTTTAGAAAAAATAAGCCCATTTCTTAAGCAAGGTCTAAAGCCAACCGAATAATTGAATAATTTTAAATACTTACTCTTTTCCATAGGATAATTTAAGAAGAAAAGTAGGTATCAGCATGTTTAACTGGGCATTTTTTCCCATTTGGTTTTAAAGGAGACTTTATCTAAATTATTAGATAAAGGGCTTAAGGCCCTTCTAAAGTCTATAAAGATAAGCAAAATCTTTAAGTATGTTTTATTATAAGCTAAAATATAATAAATTCACAATGCAATAGAGCTGACTTTTATGTGCTCCATACATACTTAAATGGGATCCCTTATTCAAGCAATGGGTACATGCATTTATAATCATTTTACTGGACTGAAGTCTTTTAGGTAATTTTAGAGGCACACAGTTAAGTCAATTATAACCTTGCCATGGTGAAATATGATCTAATAAATAATGATCTAATACACGATAATCGTTTTACAACTAGCTTCTAAGAATATATTATGATAAATAATTAAGACTATTTGTACTAAACCTCTAAACTAATTTACAGTGAATCCATTTGCATCACTCACTAAATAATAAAAGTAACTTTTTAACATTAGAATAATGTAAATTATGACGCAATCAAGAGATACTACATAGCTCTTAAAATTGATAAGCTTTGAGATTATAAAGTAACACTGAAATATGCTTATGATAAAATATTGAATAAAAAAGTGAGATGTAAAATTTTCAATTTAGAAAGATTACAACTCTGTAATACAAATATGAATATGAAAAAAGACTTGGAGGGATAAAGACCATAATGCTGAGTATAGACATTTTAGTATAGTGAGATTATAAATAAACTACTTCTCTTTCTTAAATGTCTAAAATTTGTATTACTTTTTAATGAAAATAACTCTTATTAAAAAGCATCACTAAAAACAATATTGTATCTTAACTGTTTTTAGTCCTATCTTATAATAATGAATGTTAATGGTAGATGAGACAGAAAAATTTGTTTAGAACTTTAAAAAAAATTTTACCATAAGAAATAAAAGGAGGTACTAGAATTCTAACTGCAAAGAAAAAAAAAAAGACAATACTGCTGTCTAAAATGTGACTATTAAATTACTGTAAAAAAAATTCAGAGTTTTTAATTATTCTATTGGGAAAGAAATATCAGCATAAGTAATTAATTCATAAAGAAGACTGCTTCTACAACAGGCATAAAAACATTCTCATTTACTTTGCTCACCCACCCCTACCAAAAAGCTCCTTAAAGCAAAAAGGTGATCCGTATGTCTATCAACTTAAAGATGTGGATTATAGGAAGAGAAAGGAAAGGCACTACCCAAAATGGACAAATCTGATATAAGTGATCAGGACCTATGATCTGTGTGGAACTCTTAACAAGGACATTATAAAGACCATTTTCTTTTACAGGGGATTCCCAGCCTTGCATACACATTAACTTTGTTACATCTTGCCATTGATAGGATATAATTATTTCATTCAATAAATTTGTGGCCATTCTATTTCCTGATGCCCCTCAGTGATCAATAGAAAACTTTTCAGGGTTAAAACCTGAGAAACAGAGTAAAGCCAACAAGTGTATAAGACAAAAAAACCAAAGTAACCTCTTAATCTATCCTGTCATTTACTAACTTCAATGGCAATCCACATATAATATACATTCAATAACAACTGTTCATTATCAAGTACAACAGAATATTGTTTTTAAGACAGCAGAATATTTCTAGCACTCAGAAGTCATAGCAGATTTAGAATGGCAGCTAAAAATTTACCTGCCCATTTGAATAAATATTTATAGATGTGTATAAGAAAACATACTACCCTTTTAGAAGGAATCCAGATTAATAAATTTAAAAAGACAGAAAACAGATTTTTCTCACATACACGCATCCCTTCTAATAAAGTCAAACTTGAAACTGTAAGTCTTATCATCTTACCATATGTGGCAAAAGTTCTTCTTTGCTGTTCAAACATGAAGTCATTGATATGAGCTGGTTCAGCATATCCAGAGAGCATATTTCTAGGGGCAGCCATTTGCTGTGTCCTAAAGGGATTTTCTGGTCCAAACTGCAGTGTTACAAGAAAAGAAAGAAAAAAAGAAGAAAAGAAAAACTTAAATTTTGAGAGTGTAAAGCTTGAATTACTAGAATATACAATGTACAATATATTTTCAACTCTAAAATCATCAGGGTTGACTAACCTATTTGGGAACATGCTCAGGTCACTTAGTTCAGTGCAACTGGACGATGGCTGATCAGGACTGCTTGTCAGCCCCTAGGACAGAAGGAGGGGGACCTAGCTCACCCAAGTCTACATGTGGCTATTTAAATTTAAGTTAACGAAAATATTCAGAAATGTCACATTAGCCACATTTCAAGAGCTCAACAGCTACGTTTTGTTACTGGCTACTACACTGCCATCATCTACTACATTGTGTCATCACAGGAAGTTCTACTTGATTGTGTTGTTCAAGATAATTGAGACTTACTATAGTTTTGTCTAAACCATTATTTGGGAGATTTTGGGTGACTTTCATATCAATAATGGCACCATGATGTAATTAAAAATACATTATTTCTCTACTAGATATGAGTTCCTCAAAGGTGCAGACTTAGAATCCTCAATACTTACAACAGTGCTCGAAATATAGAAAGCACTAATGAAGAAAAGATTAATCAGAATCCCACTGGGGGCAGAAGATAGTAAAACAGACAAAAATAAAGTGCTTGAAAAAGTCCCAAGGAAAAGACAATATAAATGTAAATAAAATTTCTCCACTCCGAAAAGTCATGCTATGAAAGTCTTACACAAAATAGCTCCATTATTATCTGTTTATTATGCTTTGAGTTTCCGAAATGGCTTTCCAAATGTTATTTAATTTGTACAAAAATCCTGGAAAGTTAGAGAGGTATTTCTTTCTCATGTTATAAATGAAGAAAAAAAGCCAAAGATGATGTATTTTACCTGCCTTAGAGCCAATAGTTTTATTAATTGGTAAAACAAAGGCTAAAATACATCCTAATCTAGCATTCTAATACAGCATAATAGTCCTTAAACATATACTCGTAGCCTCTAACTTTTACAAAAATTGGGTAAAAAAATTACCAAAATATATTATATCCAGTGCTATTATAAGAGGTATTGGGAAAATCCAACTCTTTTTTGTTTTAAAGCAAAGAATAAAATGAACTTCCCACTTTGGAAATAGTGAAATTATACAAGATATTTTTATTTGAACTCTAAATGGTCTATTGTCATGATGAAATATTTTGACATTAGAACATCACTGGTCATTAATATTAGAAACTATCTTTTCTATGATACATTTCCAGAGCCTAAATATAAATTATTTATCTTCTTTTAACCTGAATATTGCCATCTCTAAATATTAACATTATACTATGCCCGAAAATCTGAATTTAAATGTCAGGGATGCCTTAAATTTCTCTTGCTTTAGAAGAAAATAAATTACAATATTCTTTTTTATTGATGGCTGCCATTTATATGTTTAAAATAATTCAATGTTAAAATATCTGATTTATATATAAAGCTTTTATTGCTATTTATTCTAAATTATAACAGGATAGTACAAGACTTTGCAGCCCATATTAGTTCTTTCTGTGCTGATAAGTGGAAACAAAAGGAAAAAATCTAGATTGCCAAATGCTGGAATTCACAGTTAATTTCATTCAGTGATGAAATTTATTATAAAACAAGAAACAGCTAGAAAATTAAAGATAATCAAATAATTTAAAAGTTTCCTAGATGCTCTACCTGCTGTAGTCAGTTATCATCTACAAAGCAGCATGGGCTTACCTCTGGGGGTAAAAAATCTAAAATGATAAAAATCCCTATTGTTCTTATTGTAACTCCTAACACATAATAAATTATCAATTGTGCTTATAATTTCCAATTCGAAAAAGGAAAACACAAATTCCATAGTCTTATTTTATTAAGATTTTACAAAAAGAGAACAATTCTTCTATAGGACATACACATCAAACTAGATTCATCCTTTAAAGAAAAATTCTCACTGCTAAAGAACTTTGATCTCTATACAAATATAGATCCATGTATTACAGTTAAGTATATCTTATATGTGGTGCTATTCCTAACTCAGTCTAAAAATTTAAATATGCTTATGTTTTATAGATATTTAAGCTGAGACAACAAAAAATCTTCTAATGATACAGGAAGCTATTGAGGGGAGGAGCCATCCACTTCTGGCTCACCTTCACTGCCAACTTACTGGTAGTTAGTGGTGACCCCAAAGACATTAAATGTCAACAGATGAAGGCAGAGAATGTTATTTAGTAGGACTCAGCTCTTCCCAATTACTCAAAAAATGTCTCCCAGATGTTTCTGGTCTCTGTGAATATGTATGTCTTTTAATTCTGGGTTAAGCATTAAAAACAAAACAATGCATAAAACACACACAAAACTGATTTTTAAATACTTCTTCTCAACTTTTGGTAGTTAACTAAGTATAAATGTAAATTTGTATTCAAGTGATTAAAAAAAACACATTGAAGATAATTAGGTATAAGTATTAAACAGTTTTTAGCTAAGATAATATTGAAGTACACTGTAGTCAATTGGAATCGTAATCTCCCATATAAAAATATATACATTTAAGTATTAATTCGTATCACTACACCCAGAAGAATATGTGATTTTTCTGGGACAGGTAAATATTCTTACATCTTTCACCTGAGTGGAGTAGTGATTTATTTATAGAGTTGGAAGAAAGCATTTTAATTTTTTAAGGCACTGGTTGAATAATCTAAGAGATCTGCATATTACAAGGCAGTGATTCTCTAGAGTCTTCAGTAGGTAGAGTACTTGAGTATTTGAGGATCAATGTCTTAGCAGTATATCATCACAGGAATTAAGAAATTTATACTAGTGAAAACTGACAAGCACATGAAATCATAACCGTAAGTTCACATATAATAAAATAAAACCCAAGTTATTGAATTAATAACCATACATATATTGTTGGTAAGTTTTTCATTAATATTAATTGCATTCATCAATGTTTAGAATACTTGTAAACAAATTTTAAGGTGAGAAGTCTGTTGATTATTTTCTACAAATTTGAAAAAGGTCACTAAAATTCAATTTTACTGGAGGAATACTTCAATCTTGTAAGACATAAGAACAGTTTAAATATTATTAGCATAAGAATATTTTATTAAGGCTGGTTCTATGACTTTGGGCCTCAGTTCCCTCATCTATAAAATAAGAGCTAAGCCATATGATTTTAAAGTTCATTCTAACATTAATATTTATAGCATCCGACACAGCCAAATTTTTAACAGTAACTGGCATTTTTTTCCTCTTAATTTTTACATTTTTTTCTATTCCTAAAAGTACTATATTTTAAGTCTGAAAATCTCTCTGAGCTTATGGGTTTTATATGAGTCTAGAGAAGCTAACAAATTCACTTTCCTCTAAGCAGATACAAAAAAGATTGTGTGAAAGGAAGAAAAATGACTAGACTAAAACAATGGCTATTGTCTTTAAGTTCTTTCTATAAATTTGAGAAAGTTTATCTGGATAACTAAGTAGACCATTTAGGAAAAGTCCTTGGTTACGTGGGAGAAAAAATGTTTTATAAAATAAAATAGCCAATTCAGTTAATTTACTGAGCTGACAAAGTCAAAGGCAGGGGTATACCCACAATGGCCTTCAAACTGGTCTTCCAGTTATAGAGCCATTGTTAAGAGTGATCTGGACTCAAATTTGCAGGCAGTATAATTTGAGACTTGGTTTCCTTGCTGTAAAATAGGGATAAGAGTACTTACTTCATAAGGTTGTAGTGAAGACTAAAAGAGATAAGGAATATAAATATATAAATCCTTCAGTATGGCACCCGGAATACAGTATAAATGGTAGCTTTAATTGTGCTACTCCCCCACTAAAGAACCTTACAAATCTATCATATATTAAATCAAGACCAAACTCTTCACCTTGGCCCCCAGAGCCCTGTGTAATATTATACAAAATACCATTCTAGTCTTACCTCCCCGTCTTCCCCTACTGATAATGACTAAAGCATTTCTTTTCTTTAGATCTTTTATGATTTGGCTCAAGTGTGTCTGTTCTGCCTGGAATCTTTCCCCCTAAAAGCCTTCCTAGCCATCAATGCTAATAACAGTAATATAAATAACAGTAAGGGCTAACATTTGTTAAATGCTTACTCTGTGCCAGAGAGTTTCCTAAGCATATCATACATTATCTCATTTATCCTTATAACTCAGTAAAGCAGACATTATCTTCATGTGACTTATGAAAAAAAGAAGATAATCTCAGGTCATACAAGAACTAAAAAGAGGTCTGCTTAACCCCAAATCTCATGTTCTTAAATTAGACTGTATTGCTTACTTTAAATACTATTTCTCTCATGGAACTTTTTCTTATCTTTACAACCAGACGCAATCTCTTCTTTAATCTGTCTAGTACTTTAAAGGTACTATAGGAAACAGTCTAGGCTCTATCTTTTTAAAAAATACATTTAACATATCCTCTCTGGTAAAAATTAGCTTGAGGAAAGGGGCTATATCTTGTTTCTAACAATGGATTCTCAAATATGGGAATCTGAATTTCATCTAGCAAAGTTCCTAGTAACACTTTTCCAGACTGTGCCAAATTGTATAGATCCTAATCATAAAATTCAAAGTTAATAATCTGTTATGCCACAGACAATTCATTGGCCTCCAGGAAAAATTGTAACTTTTCACTTTTTAGTCTCATCATTCTTTTCTTAAGTTACTGACAAGCAGAGAAGTGTTCCTAACATAAACTTATTTATAACTTCCTAACGTGAGGGGAAAACCCCCCAAATATTAAAGAATTGGTAATTCCACAAAGAGAATCCGCCTACTACCTTGTCAATATCACCACAAAAAAAAAAATCTTGACCTTTTAAATTTTCTTGAATTTTGAAAGCTGTAATCACAAAGCATTATTATTAGTTATACATAGCATCCAAAAGTTATAAAAAAAGAGCCTTCATAGAAAATATATACACTGACACATAGGAATGTCTTACATGACATTACTTCCAAATTTTCTCATTTTCTGATTTCAGTGGCCCTATTTCACTGAAGTACTGTTCATTTAAAAAATCATGAAGCATATATGCAATATACAACCTCTCTTCAATATGCGGGCTAAAATGGTGCCAGGGAATATGGAAGAGCCTATAGTTCGACAGGCTAGAAAGATTTAAAAAAGAACAGAATAAAATTTAAAATGTACCACATTTCAGAGCATGAAAATGAGATTTTTGCTTACACCTAGAGAACAGCTAGAGCACTGTTTAAATACTAGCACTGACATCATTTCAATTGCCATATGTTAAGTGACTACAGAAACCAAGCAAGCAAATTGTGAAACAGCTTTATGTCTCTGCTTTATCAAAACAACAACAGCAGCAAACAATGACCATACAATAAAAAATGAAAAATATTAAAAAGTACCTTTTCCTCCACCAAGATGCAGTAAGGTTTGCCTCCTCACTTCCATCTTTAAAGTGCTTCTTAAGATCCTGCTACTGAAGGCTTTTTAAAAAAATAATGACCATTTTCTGACATTTCTATTTTATCAAGCATTCTTTTTCCTTTTTAAAGGCAAAATATCTAGAAATTTAATCTTTTCTACAAATGTTCCTACAATGGGTAATTTTCATAACTCCTGGTTTTTTTTTTTTTTTTTTCCTTCCTCATCTTTAATGCTTTCCTTACCATTTATCATTACCATCTTATGGAAAAAAGAATCCATAAGATGTCTTACTCAGAGCAGGCAGTAGACATTGTGACTACTTTCAAGCAGTGGCTATGTCAGTGTGGCACCTTTTTAGTGTTTGACATAGCAGTATTTATAACTAGATGTTTCATAATAGACTATGCATTGATGATGTTACTAAAGCAAATTCTTTTTCCCTTATGGTTAATTTGTAATACCCTTTACCAATACCGAGAGGAAGACATTAACTAAGTTCACAGCTAAGCATCAGATATTTTGAGATTTCCTTTTTCAAAAGACATAATTCCATACTATCAGGTAGTTGTATGCTGGTAGATAAACAACTGTGAATTCTTAAAAGTATTCGCACAAAAACATATACACTATTTAAACTTATAGAGAGCAGAAGGATATGTTTTCTTTTTCTTTTTAAATTGAGATATAGTTGACGTATAATAGGATGCATTTTCTAAAAGTAGTATACTTTTGTGAGAAAAAGGAAAATTTCGCTGTTGATCTACCTATGTATAATTTAAATACTTTAGCAAAGGCAGAATCTTATATATAGTATGTTTTCTCACCTCAGGAGCAAACATAGTCTCATAGGTAGGATTATACTGAACCTCTTTGACAGCAGGGTCAAGGTGAACTCCAGTCTCCAAATCTTCCTGAAAGAAAACCAAGTGAACATTAAGATCTGACAATTTTATTTTAAAACTATATTAAGGTCACACTAGCTATTTTAATACCAGTTTTATGATTAATGCCATATAATTAATAATTCTACTAATCAAAGACTAATAAAAGTAATATACATCAGTATAGAGGTTAGAATGCATGACAAAAATATTTTTCTTTCAAAAAACTGACTTTATCCCAACTGAACAAATCAGAAATTTCTAGATAAGTTAACACTACTCAAAGCCTTAAGAGTCCAACTTCTCTTTGTTATTAATTCAAAAGACCTGATTATCTGGTTCCAAATTCAGGAGAAGCACTCCTTTATTCAGCAAACCTTATTAGATATATACTCAGATGGCACTGGTTAGGGACTGCAGAGGAAACAAAAGGAAGTGACAGGGCCTAAATCTTCTATCGCCTCACTCCCCACAGGAGCCAGTGTGCTTCTTTTAATATTCGTCAGATTCCGTTACTCCTTTGCTCTAAACTCTCCAGTAGCTTCCGAACAAAAGATACAAGGATCATTACCAGTTCTCCTCAGAAAGTAAGTATGGTTCCCTAGGGAAGTTTTACAGGGCATTTTCATCTTACTGTCTTGCCCTTCACCAAAGCAGGAAACCTAGTTTCTATACTTCTCAAAGATAGTCTTTTGGGTATCCCTTAAACTTCCTTCCTCACTAGTTTCAAAATTGTATCTTTATCTTATCACGACTTCAATTTCTACTCCAAATTTTTATCTGCAGTCTTGACCACACTCCTGGCCTCTGGATCTACATATCTAAGTGCCTACTGAATATTATATGGATGTTCCACAGTATCACACTTGCTACGTCCAAAATAGAAGATATTACGCCATGACTCCACCCTCAGTCACAAATAATTCAAACACTGAGTCTCACTAAATTGACCTCTGAACAATTTCTCCAGCAACTTTACCCCCATCCTCCCTTCTTCACATCCCGGCCCCTACTATCCTAGTTCAGGGCTTCATCATATCTTGTGTAGTCTTATACCTCCTTATCTGGTTTAATATATCTCCACTTTTGTCATAATTGACTAATTGCTGATTTTTAAAACTATCACGCATTTTCATGCTTTCTGTGCTATTGGCGATGTTACTGTCTTTGCATCTTATGCATTTCCTTTTGTTATCTGACAATATGTCATCATCTTATTTTCCTTGATACCGTCCCTCTTTCTGGCTGAGGCAAACTGTTTTTTCGTCCACAGTCCTAGGGAATGTTTTATATAATGCCTAATGGCACCTGTGATATTGTATTATTTGTTGCACATGACCTTTACTTACATTTTATATCTTCACTGCCTAGTAGAATGCAGGGCACTTGGCGCATGTTCAATAAATAATTGTTATATTAAACTGAAGAAAAGTCAAATCCATAAGGAAATTAAATAGAATGAAGGCTGACCGAAACCACTGAATTTGGCAATGATATCACTAAAGACATTTGCCAAAACAATTTTGATAGTGGGGTGGAGGTATGGGAGGCCAGGTATAAGAGGAAGAGGTATAACTGAGGATTTAGAAAAACAAGACAGTAATAATTTTTACTCTTTCAAGACATGTGGTGATAAAGAAGAGATGGGATAACAGATTTAAGGATTTTCAGGGTGAATTAAAGTTTGTTTTTTTTCCCCTCTTGTAAAAAAAGACTAGGTCAAAGATTTAGTCAATCACAGACTAAAGAAAAGGAGTGAGTAGGGAGAAACACATGAAAAGGAAAGGATAATCAAAAGGGTGGTTATCTTGGAAGAGGTGGGAGGGGAGAATCCAGGACATAGTTGGAAGATTAGCCTCTGAAAAGAGAAAGCTCTTCTTTGAGATGAAATAGAGATGATAGAGACAAGAACAGGTGATGAGTGACAGATGTTTAAGCTGGTGGGAGATGCTGGGAGTCATAGTTGGTAATTTTCTTTTCTTCATGTAGTTAGGGGCACAAGCATCTTCATAAAGCGAGTATGGTAATTCATATTCATTTGTTCGGTCATAAATATTGATTGTGTGCCTATTATGTGCCAGGCACTGTTCTAGGCCCATAGAAATAGACAAAGATCTCTGCCGTTGTGGAGCTTATATTCTAGTAGGGGACTGAGAGACAATAACCAATAAGTGAATTATATAGTTTGCTAGAAGAGGGCAAGTGTTATATAAAAACAGTACTTAACATTACTTTAAAGTCAAGTGCCAGGACCAGGGTAAACACATTGTCTCATATAACCCTTAACAGTATCTCTCTAAGTATTAGTAAGATTAAGTCACTTACCCAAAAGTACTAATAGAATAAATGAGAAGGGGAAGAGTAACCACAATGAACCATGTTATAGAGACCCAATTAGCAACAAACAAAAAATGGCTGGCAGAATATCAGTCAGGATTCTTAACTGCAAGCTGCTGAAACTCTCACAGTCTAATTAAACAGTATTGAATCCTGAGTTTCTCATAGCATTGCCAAGAAGAGTGGAAAATCATCTTAGGGAATTAGGCAGAAATAAAGGGTGAGTATACAGATGGAAACAACTCTAAATCAATCATATCAAAAACCAGTCCAGTGAGGACAACAGTTCACTATTACTGAAAACCACTGCTAAACTGTTACCTGCTACTGGATGCTGCTGTTAAAACTACTAGTTTGAGAAACTAGATAATGTTGGTCACCACTGCCACTTAAAAATATTTCCTTGTTTCTTTGTGGATTAATTTTGGATTAGAATTGAGGTGGATGCATTTGGCTGACTGAGCCCAAGCTACAGTCCTGAGCCTTAGCTGAAAGGGAGCAAGGAGAATGAGAATCTGGGATTTCATTTCTGAAGGTAGGGGACAGGTAGGGATATTCTTCCCATTCAGACTCTTTAGAAAGGGGGTTCAAATGCTGGGCCACCTAAAAGAGGATACATAGATATTACCCTAGAGTGCACACCAGAATCTTCACTCTCTTTCCTAGGGCTCAGTAGCAAAACCCAGTACTATAAAGTTAAAAGGTTATATATAAATCGCTTATGCTGCATAAAAACTAAATTAAATCCTTCATTTCTTAATAGTCAACGCCTAGTGATAAACTGCTTAAGATCCCAAGAGGCTTAGACACATTCATACCTCGCCAATGGGTTTTATAGAATACAGTTGCTAGAATCACTTTATAATATGATTTACTAGCTCTTTCCAATGAAGGTTATTCTAAATTTGAATTATTTTGAACAGAGTACCGTGAGATACCAGGTTTTAAATTCAAAGTACAATTTTAAAAGAATTACTTTTTATATGAGCAATGGTGGCAACTAATAAAAAAAAAATATAACTAGCTCTCAGTCTCTGGATCCTACCAAAATCATAGGACAAATTGAACATTCCTTCAGAAAATAAAGTTATTAATTTTACATTTAATTAGAAAAACCTGGACAACACCACAACATTGTTTTAATACCCATCAGTAGTTCAATAACAATTGGGCATGCAATTGAAATTACCACAGAATTACAAAAGATTTCTATTCAGTTTTAATTATACATAAAAATTCAAGTGCAGTAAGTGAAAGGTACCCTATAGGTCAAATAAGTTTATCTTTTGTTTATTCAAAGAAATTTGAGAATGAAACTAAGTAATATTTACTTTCCAGTTCTTTATACATTTCTTACTATTAAATAAGAAAATAGATGTGAAAGCACTTTATAAACTATAAAACAGAACACAAATATTAATCTTATTATAAACTACTTTTCAATTTATGGTATAGTTTTTTCCCCCAGAAAGCAGAAACAAATAAACTTCCTAAAATGGGAGGGTAGGTGAATGAGATGAGAATAGAAATTCATATAAAGATATCCTTTGAGTTTGGCTCTTAACAAATGCAGAGGAAAAAGGCAATCCATTTGAAATTTACCATTTAAGAAAGATAACCCAAGAAGTTTCGAAATGTGCTCAAAATTAAAGGCAGAATTTTAATTTTATGCAGGTTGGCTATGTTAAAGCAAGGAATACATTGGGCGAAAAGCAACACAGTCATTGACAGAAATGAGAGAAAGCAGGTCTGCTTTCATTTTTTTAACTTTAAAGTTGATTAGCAACTCTTGTAACCCAACAGGGCCCATTACATGATTTTCAAAGTGCAAAATCTGACAATGTTGCATCAAAAAAATTTTTTAACTAGAAAAATATTCATTGCCATACACTGGAGAACACAAATATGTTTAATTGGGGTTTGAGAGTAAGATAAAAGGGAATAGGACTAAAATAATATGTGAAAAGAACTGAGAACTTCCCAGAAATATTGAAGACTCATATTCTAAACCAATCAATTCACAATTAAAGAAGCCCAACAAATTCTGAGCAGGACAAGTAAAAAGAAATCCACACTTGTGTATCACATAATGAATATAAATAATAAAAATATATTCCAAATAAAAGGGGGTTGGGGACAAGTGTCCTAAAAACAGTCAAAAGAAAAAAAGCCCAGCTATACTGACAGCTGTATCAGTAACGATGAAAATCCGAAGACAGAATATTTTTTGCTGAGAGAAAATAACTGTCAGGTAAGGAAACTAAACCCAATGGAAATATCCTTCAAGA